CGGTCTCGCTGGTTTCAGCTCATGGGGTTTTTGTTCCCTTTTGTATTTGTCCAGAGTGTGTTTACTGACCGCTGTTCGGCCAGAAGTGATTGGTTCAAAGGTGAATTCTGACTTCTCTCTTTCTCTCTCTGTGAGTGTGTCTGTATCTGTCTCTCTCTCTCTTTCTGGTTTCTCTCTGTGTCTCTCCGGTCTCTCTCTGCTTGCCTTGTCTCTCTCTCTCTCTCTCTCTCTCTCTTGCTCTGTATCTCAGTCTCTCTGGTCTCTCTCTTGTCTCTCTCTCTCTCTCTTGCTCTGTATCTCAGTCTCTCTGGTCTCTCTCTTGTCTCTCTCTCTTTCTGGTTTCTCTCTGTGTCTCTCCGGTCTCTCTCTGCTTGCCTTGTCTCTCTCTCTCTCTCTCTCTCTCTCTCTGCTCTGTATCTCAGTCTCTCTGGTCTCTCTCTTGTCTCTCTCTCTTTCTGGTTTCTCTCTGTGTCTCTCCGGTCTCTCTCTGCTTGCCTTGTCTCTCTCTCTCTCTCTCTCTCTCTCTCTTGCTCTGTATCTCAGTCTCTCTGGTCTCTCTCTTGTCTCTCTCTCTCTCTCTTGCTCTGTATCTCAGTCTCTCTGGTCTCTCTCTTGTCTCTCTCTCTTTCTGGTTTCTCTCTGTGTCTCTCCGGTCTCTCTCTGCTTGCCTTGTCTCTCTCTCTCTCTCTCTCTCTCTCTCTTGCTCTGTATCTCAGTCTCTCTGGTCTCTCTCTTGTCTCTCTCTCTTTCTGGTTTCTCTCTGTGTCTCTCCGGTCTCTCTCTGCTTGCCTTGTCTCTCTCTCTCTCTCTCTCTCTCTCTCTTGCTCTGTATCTCAGTCTCTCTGGTCTCTCTCTTGTCTCTCTCTCTTTCTGGTTTCTCTATGTGTCTCTCTGGTCTCTCTCTTTCTGGTTTCTCTATGTGTCTCTCTGGTCTCTCTCTTTCTGGTTTCTATGTGTCTCTCCGGTCTCTCTCTGCTTGCCTTGTCTCTCTCTTGCTCTCAATCTCAGTCTCTCTGGTCTCTCTCTCTTTCTCTGGTTTCTCTCTGAGTCTGTCTCTGTCTCTCGTTTTGAAGCAGCCAGATTCTCCAGAGAATATAGAATCTGAAACAATGAAAGATCATTGTTGTACATTTAAGATGTTTGTGCGTTTGTGTCTCTGTGTGTGTGTGTGTGTTTTCATAATCTGAGGTCTCTTGCCGGGACAGAAGCTCATTTAACTCAGAAGTTAAATATTCACAGCAGTTTTACAACAGCTCGGTTACAAGATATTGACAAAAATGTACAAGACAAAAGCAGGAAGTGGAGCAGGATTTACAGATTTAAAACCATTTGGTCTGAAATGTCCAGAAAAGTCCAACTGAGATTAACAAACTCTTTTTCAAGGGAGTCCTGGAGATTATACTAATAATCATATTATAAGATGATTATTAATCTTGAACAACTGTATATTATTATTATTATACAGTTGTTCAAGATTAATAATCATACATTGGTTTTATAGAGCGCTTTTCTGGACGCTCAAAGTCTCTTCACATGTCACAGTGTAGCCACAGCTGCCCTGGGGCACACTGACAGGAGCGAGGCAACCAGTCTGTGCCATCAGCCCCTCCCACCACCACCACTCACACACACACTAGACTCATTCTATGTGGGACCTACTGTGGCCCCTGGTGTTACCAGAGGTCTCCCATCCCTGCACTAACCAGGCCCAGCCCTGCTTAGCTTCAGAGGTCTGACAGGATCTGGCGTTTGCAACAATTTAGCGCTAGAACTCCCTTGACAGTCAATGGGTTTTACATTTGCTTCTTCTCTCAGTGTATGTACATCCTTGGTCTTTATAACTTTCTCTTTTGTCATTATTTTCATTTTCTATTATTTTTAAATGTGAGGAATTCTCCCTGAAGCTTCATTCACTTCAGCGCCAACTTTCCAAGGTCCTGGTTCTGTACTGGTTCTGGTTCGTGAGTGGTCCTGGTTCTAGTTTTGTACTGGTTCTGGTTCTACACTCAACCTGGTTCTAGACTGGTTCTGGCTTTAGACTTGTCCTGGTCCTAGACTGGTTCTAGCTTTGTACTGGTTCTGGTTCTAGACTCGTTCTGGTCCGAGATTGGTTCTGCTTCTAGATTTGTCCTGGTTCTATCCTGTATTGGTTCTGGTTCTAGACTCGTTCTGGTCCGAGATTGGTTCTGGTTCTAGTTTTGTCCTGGTTCTATCCTGTACTGGTTCTGGTTCCAGACTTGTCCTGGTCTTAGACTGGTTCTAGTTTTTCACTGGTTCTAGACTCTTTCCGGTCCGAGATTGGTTCCGGTTCTAGACTCGTCCTGGTTCTAGGCCTGTACTAGTTCTGCACTGGTTCTGCTTCACGAGTCGACCTGGTCCTAAACCTGTTCTGTACTGGTACTGGTTCTTGTTCTAGACCTGTACTAGTTATGTACAGGTTCTGGTTCTGGACTGGTTCTGCTATTGGTTTTCCACCAGAGAGGAGAGCGAATGCCAGTTACCATAGCGACACACTGTTTACCGTCAGCAGTTAGCATTTGGTCTTTAGCATTAGCATTTCCACACGTTTTCTATATTTGAAGATATATTCAACAGTTTTGCTGAACTTTGGGATAAATAAAGTATCTCTTCATCTCTTAATCTTAATCTGAATCTGAATCTTGATAGTCATTTTAATCTTAAAGATGACACTTGATGGAACTTGAAATAAATGTAAAGTTTTGTAAATGCTGCTGTTTTGTCCCGTTCTTCTCTTCAGTTCAGACTCTGGTTCATCCGTGGAGATTATCACTGGGATTACAGCTGTTGATGGACGTCATCCTGATAATCCAGTAAACCTCTGTCGCTTTATTACAATTAGAAGATTACACACAAAAAACACAATAAAAACACATATTTCTCTACAGAACCTGCAGCTCAAGGCTATTGCTATTATTCCCATTATTCTAAGTCTCTATACTCAGCAAAAGCATCAGAAAATTATTAGTCCTGCTCTCTCTCTCTCTCTCCCTGCTCTCTCTCTCTCTGCTCTCTCTACTCTCTCCCTGCTCTCTCTGCTCTCTCCCTGCTCTCTCTGTGCTCTCTCCCTGCTCTCGCTCTCTTTGCTCTCCCCCTGCTCTCTCTCTCCCTGCTCTCTCTGCTCTCTCCCAACTCTCTCTCTCTCTCTCTGTGCTCTCTCCCTGCTCTTACCCTTCTCTCTGCTCTCTCTCTGCTCTCTCTCTCCCTGCTCTCTCTGCTCTCTCCCTGGGCTCTCTCTCTCCCAACTCTCTCTCTGCTCTCGCTCTCCCTGCTCTCTCCCTTCTCTCTCCCTGCTCTCTCTCTCTCTGCTCTCTCCCTACTCTCTCTCTCTGCTCTCTCCCTACTCTCTCTCTTCCTACTCTCTCCCTGCTCTCTCTCTCTGCTCTCTCTGCTCTCTCCCAACTCTCTCTCTCTGCTCTCTCTCTCTCTCTCTGCTCTCTCTCTCTGTGCTCTCTCCCTGCTCTTTCCCTTCTCTCTGCTCTCTCTCTCCCTGCTCTCTCTGCTCTCTCCCTGGGCTCTCTCTCTCCCAACTCTCTCCCTGCTCTCTCCCTTCTCTCTCCCTGCTCTCTCTCTCTCTGCTCTCTCCCTACTCTCTCTCTCTCTCTCTGCTCTCTCCCTACTCTCTCTCTTCCTACTCCCTCCCTACCCTCTCTCTGGTTTCTCTCTCCCTGCTCTCTCTCTGTTCTCTCTCCCTGCTCTCTCTTTGCTCTCTCCCTGCTCTCTCTTTGCTCTCTCCCTGCTCTCTCTTTGCTCTCTCCCTGCTCTCGCTCTCTTTGCTCTCCCCCTGCTCTCTCTCTCCCTGCTCTCTCTGCTCTCTCTCTGCTCTCTCCCAACTCTCTCTCTGCTCTCTCTCTCTGTGCTCTCTCCCTGCTCTTTCCCTTCTCTCTGCTCTCTCTCTGCTCTCTCTCTCCCTGCTCTCTCTGCTCTCTCCCTGGGCTCTCTCTCTCCCAACTCTCTCTCTGCTCTCGCTCTCCCTGCTCTCTCCCTTCTCTCTCCCTGCTCTCTCTCTCTCTGCTCTCTCCCTACTCTCTCTCTCTCTCTGCTCTCTCCCTACTCTCTCTCTTCCTACTCCCTCCCTACCCTCTCTCTGGTTTCTCTCTCCCTGCTCTCTCTCTCTGCTCTCCCTCTGCTCTCTCTCTGTTCTCTCTCCCTGCTCTCTCTTTGCTCTCTCCCTGCTCTCGCTCTCCTTGCTCTCTCTCTGCTCTCTCTCTGCTCTCTCTCTGTGCTCTCTCTCCCTGGGCTCTCTCTCTCCCAACTCCCTCTCTGCTCTCGCTCTCCCTGCTCTCTCCCTTCTCTCTGCTCTCACTCTCTGCTCTCTCCCTGCTCTCTCTCTCTCTCTGCTCTCTCCCTACTCTCTCTCTCCCTACTCCCTCCCTACCCTCTCTCTGGTTTCTCTCTCTCTGCTCTCTCTCTCTCTCTGCTCTCTCCCTACTCTCTCTCTTCCTACTCCCTCCCTACTCTCTCTGGTTTCTCTCTCTCTGCTCTCTCCCTGCTCTCTCTCTCTCTGCTCTCTCCCTACTCTCTCTCTCCCTACTCCCTCCCTACCCTCTCTCTGGTTTCTCTCTCTCTGCTCTCTCTCTCTCTCTGCTCTCTCTCTGCTCTCTCCCTACTCTCTCTCTTCCTACTCCCTCCCTACTCTCTCTGGTTTCTCTCTCTCTGCTCTCTCCCTGCTCTCTCTCTCTCTCTGCTCTCTCCCTACTCTCTCTCTTCCTACTCCCTCCCTACCCTCTCTCTGCTCTCTCCCTGCTCTCTCTCTCTCTCTGCTCTCTCCCTACTCTCTCTCTTCCTACTCCCTCCCTACCCTCTCTCTGGTTTCTCTCTCTCTGCTCTCTCCCTGCTCTCTCTCTCTCTGCTCTCTCCCTGCTCTCTCTCTCTCTCTGCTCTCTCCCTACTCTCTCTCTCCCTACTCCCTCTCTACCCTCTCTCTGGTTTCTCTCTCTCTGCTCTCTCTCATGCCTCAGTGTGTGGTGTGTAGGATCTTCATGGCGATCGTGGGCTTCGGCTTCACCATCATCTTCTGCACCACCTTCTGTCGCGCCTGTAACCGCATGCGCGAGGAGCAGGTGGAGCGCGAGGCCTGGAGGAGGAGCGAGCGAGACGGACGCCCACCTCCCGTCTTCGTCATCCCCTTCCCCCGCAACGCCTCCCGGGACAGCGACGACACCGGCCCCCGCCTCGGCCGCGAGAGCACGCTGCAGTACACCAACCCGGCCTTCAGCGAGCCGCCTCCCGCCTACAGCGAGGTGAGCTCTGGGTGGACCTAATCCTAATCTACATAAAATAATAACACACACATACAGAATAGAGGAGCCATTGGTTCATAGGGAGCATCTGCACTCACACACACACACACAGACAGACACACACACACTCATACATACACAGACACACACACACCACACCACACACAGACTATCTCACACACACAGACAGACACACACACACTCATACATACACAGACACACACACACACCACACCACACACAGACTATCTCACACACACAGACAGACACACACACACTCATACATACACAGACACACACACACCACACCACACACAAACTATCTCACACACACAAACAGACACACACACACTCATATATACACAGACACACACACACCACACCACACACAAACTATCTCACACACACAAACAGACACACACACACACACTCATACATACACAGACACACACACACCACACCACACACAAACTATCTCACACACACAAACAGACACACACACACACACTCATACATACACAGACACACACACACCACACACAGACTATCTCACACACACAAACAGACACACACACACTCTTGCATACACAGACACACCACACCACACACAAACTATCTCACACACACAAACAGACACACACACACTCATACATACACAGACACACACACACACCACACCACACACAAACTATCTCACACACACAAACAGACACACACACACTCATACATACACAGACACACACACACACACACCACACACAAACTATCTCACACACACAGACACACACACACTCATACATACACAGACACTCACACACACACATAGAGACACTCACACGCTCACACACACACACAAACAAACAGACACATACACACACAGACAGACAATCACACTCTCACACAAACATAGACAGACACTCACACTCTCACACAAACAGACACGCACACACTCATACATGCACACACACACAGACAGACACTCACACTCTCATACAAACTATCTCACACACACAAACAGACACGCACACACAGACACACACACTCTCTCTCTCTCTCTGTCCCCCTCTCTCACACACACACACACACACACACACAAATACATAAAACCAATACAAACTCAGATGTCCATATAACCCTCCGGTGTGTGTGTGTGTATATGTGTGTGTGTGTGTGTGTATATGTGTGTGTGTGTGTGTTGCAGTTGGGCTTTAAGCTGGAGGATCTCCCCCCTGCATACACACAGTACAGTGTTCCTGTGTATCCTATAGCACTGGAGCCTCCAGCAGCAGCAGGGGCCCTGGCACACGGCCCCCAACATGGGCCCCCACACAGCCCTCCACCTGGGCCCCCAGAGTCGTAGAACTGTCTCTGCTCGGACTCATACAAACTGCAGGAGGTTTGGTTTAGACAGTTTTAAAAGAAGTGACGTGTTTGTGAGCCACAGACTAAGACTGTTATTGTAGCCCCATTTCCACCAGCTCTAGTCTACTCCCTAACCTTACCCTACCCCACCTTACCCTACTCTACTCTACTCTACTCTACTCTACTCTACTCTACCCTACTCTACTCTACTCTACTCTACTCTACTCTACTCTACTCTACTCTACTCTACTCTACTCTACCCTACCCTACCCTACCCTACCCTACCCTACCCTACTCTACTCTACCCTACTCTACTCTACTCTACTCTACTCTACCCTACCCTACCCTACCCTACCCTACCCTACTCTACTCTACCCTACTCTGCTGGTAGGGTAGGGTAGGGTAGTCAATAGTTTGACATCAACAAACTATTGTCTAACGCAGAATATAAAACAGCACACACAGACTTCCACTGTCCGCGGGCCACCGGGACGGTCCTGTAACAACAACATTAAATCAGAAATAATCACAGAACCCTACCCTACCCTACTCTACTCTACTCTACTCTACTCTACCCTACCCTACCCTACCCTACTCTACTCTACTCTACTCTACTCTACCCTACCCTACTCTACCCTACCCTACCCTACTCTACCCTACCCTTCTCAACCCTACCCTACTCTACTCTACTCTACTCTACTCTACTCTACTCTACTCTACTCTACTCTACCCTACCCTACCCTACCCTACCCTACCCTACCCTACCCTACTCTACTCTACTCTACTCTACCCTACCCTACCCTACTCTACCCTACCCTACCCTACTCTACCCTACCCTTCTCAACCCTACCCTACTCTGCTCTACTCTACCTGGTTGTGTTTCCATTACACTTTAGTATCTGGTACCGTATCCTAGCAACCGACCCACAACAAATCTGTATCCGTGGAACAAAACAAAAGTTAAAGCTTTAACAAAAAGCTGCACTAACTGACTTTGAGAAATTTTCAAATGAGAACGATGAGCTCGCCCCCCCCCCCCTTTAGCCTCTGCTCATGCTAACTGTATACAGAGCACACATCTCACAATATGGACACATTTGAACGTGGCGTGACCATAGATGATTGAACCGGGAAGCACGGAGGAACAAGTTTTTCTTTTGGCTGTTTCGCTGAGTAAGCAGTAACCGGTAAGCTTCAGGTTAGCTCCGCCGCTCGTTTACCTCAGCTGTCGGTGCTAACAAGAGACCTGTAGCTTTTCTCAAGAAAGCGGGGGCCAGTGGTCCGCTGTGATTGGTCAAAATCTGGACTCAAAACAAATTCTCTTCCTTGTTTCACCAAAACTCGATCTAAAATAAAAGGACAGTCCAGCACAAACCTGCGCTACTTATTCTTCAAAAGGACGTCTATCCCAACGCACTACAGGATATGGATTGAATTTTCATAATGTATACAAAAATAAAGTCGGTTCGTGCAGCTTTAATATTTGCTTGATTTTTTTCGAGTTATTTATTAAACAGGAAACAGGAAATTGGACTTTCTTGACTCAGCTTGTTTGACGCTGCAAAACATCACCCCAGGTTTTATTTATTTATTAGGCCACGTTTATCTGGATTTACCAACAAGACCAGGACAAGCTATTACTACCTTATTGTGTTATTGTGTAGTGGTTCTCAACAGAGGTTTTCTTTCTTTCTCTCTCTGATTCTCTCTCTCTCACACGCACACTCTCCCTCTCTCCCTCTCTCTCTCAATCTCTCTCACACGCACACACACTCTCTCTCCCTCTCTCTCTCCATCTCACACACACACAGTCAGAATGTACACAAATTAGGATAAAAAGCACTAATTACCTCGTTGTATTATTTTGTAGTGGTTTTCAACATTCATAAAAAACTGAACATAGGTTTTTATTCCTCCTCTATCACGTCATATCTCACTCCTCCAGAGTCTGAGAACCGAATACTGTTTACAAACGCAATGGCGCCCTCGTGTGGCCAGTTTTACAGCACCTTGGAGTTTACGATGATTTAACACATTTTTGTGAAAGTGTTTTGCCAATCACTTGTCATTGGTGAATATTTATACATATCTGCAATCTATTGTTTCACAGAGAGGCTGGGGCCGAGGGTTAAAGCTGGGGTACCTGATTTGAAAAGCTAAATATTTAAATCTTCCAATCCATCACTAAGTCTTGTTTTTACATTAGCACAACAGAAATATAATAATGTCTGTTTTCTTGGCATTGTCTGGGGTTTTTTTAGTTTGTAGAAAAAAGCTGAAATGTCCTAGTTTCCTGGAGAGAGAGAGAGACCCACCAGACCAGAGAGAGACTAGAGAGAGACCCACCAGACCAGAGAGAGACCAACCAGACCAGAGAGAGACCAGAGAAAGACCCACCAGACCAGAGAGACCAGACCAGAGCGAGACAAGAGATGAGAACAGAGAGAGAGAAAGAAAGAAAGAAAGAAGAAAAAGGGTACCCCAGCTTTAAGTGATGTTTCGGACTTTTGGAGAAAATACAGCAAAACTTTATTGTAGTGAGTTCTTTGTAATAATGTATTTATTGATGATTCTTTACTGATTCTGTTGTATTTGTTCAGTGTCATGATCTGGAACGTTTGTACATTTCAAATAAATGAATCCTTCCTTGTTTTCTGTTTTCAATGCGACGGGACCAAAATGAACAAAACCCCCAACTCTTTCAGTCTCAGCTGAGAAGCCACAGCTGCCCTGGGGCACACTGACAGAAGCGAGGCAACCAGTCTGTGCCATCACCCCGTCTCACCACCAACAACAACCATTCACACACACACACCAGACTCATTCTAATGTGGGGGAAGTGTCTTGCCTAAGGACACAACCACAGTTTGGCACTTTACAGCCTCAGCCGCCCCCACTGAGGCACCTGGTCTCCCATCACAGTACTAACCAGGACCTGCACTGCTTAGCTTCAGAGGTCTGACGGCATCTGGCTTTCACCTGCAGGTGGCGCCACATGAGACAGCCGTTATTTTGTTCAAACATATCTGATAAAACCCCATACAAATTTACATTTATTTAAACGGGAGGAAACGTGAGTAATTTATAAGGTTTAAACATTCACTCACCTGAAATACTGAAATATAGCAAAACAATGTTTGTTGAAAAGCTAATGCTAACTGCTCCAAGTGAACTACGTGTTGCTATGGTAACTAGTACCTGACAGTGAGACCGGAAATTGAGAACAAAAAAAACAGAGAGAGACCGAAGAGAGGGACCAGAGAGAGAGACCAAAGAATGGAACCAGAGGGCGGGACCAAAGAGAGAGAGAGAGACCAGAGAGAAATGCAAAGAGAGGGACCAGGGAGAGAGACCAAAGAGAGGGTACAGTGAGAGGAACTAGAGGACAGAACCAAAGAGAGATATACCAGAGAGAAAGACCAGAATTGATATGTGCTGACAAATAAGATGTGGTACTTTTTGACAGTTTTTGTTTCATGTGGATTATTCGAGGATTTACAGAGAAATAATCCCTGAACCAAGATTGGAATCTGACTTTTGACAGTTACCATAGTTACCAGGAACGATTCAGCCACTCTCTTGGTCCAGTTTGGTGCAAGGATTGACAATCTGGACGGCTTCTGGTTCCCCGTCCAGTGCAGCAGAGCCTGGTATCAGTAGTATCTGTAGTGTGGTACCATGTGGGCTGCTGATAGTGGGATATTTTGGTCTGTAGTATCACTCTGGGTCTTATCACAAGGAAACTCTATCTGGAGACTTCTAATCCAAACAGAGAATTAAGAGGGTGTGGTCACATCTTTGCAAAAATGGTTCACGTTTTAAAATAGCGGCTTGTTTAGATCTGAGGCGTCTGACTTTAAAACCACAACAAATTATGGACAATGTGTTCCTGGCTCTCAAAACGGTTCTAAATTAGTTTAAAACAAGACTTTAAAGCAGCTCTGTTTGTGGACTATGTTAGTGCCGTATGAACCAACTCTGAGGAGCACAGGGCCTGCCTCCTGCTGGTACCCAGGATCAGGACGAATCTGGTTGTTGGGTTGCTGGTTGTTGGTTGTTGCTAGTTAGTTGTTGGTCGGTTGGTTGGTTGTTGGTTGGTTGCTAGTTAGTTGTTGGTCGGTTGGTTGGTTGTTGGTTGGTTGCTAGTTAGTTGTTGGTCGGTTGGTTGGTTGTTGGTTGGTTGCTAGTTAGTTGTTGGTCGGTTGGTTGGTTGTTGGTTGGTTGTTGGTTGGTTGGTTGGATGGTTGTTGGTCGGTTGCTGGTTTGTTGTTGGTTGTTGGTTGGTCGGTTTTTGGATGGTAGTTGGTTGGTTGCTGGTTGGTTGGTTGGATGGTTGTTGGTTGGGTGTTGGATGGTTGTTGGTTGGTTGGATGGTTGTTGTTGGATGGTAGTTGGTTGGTTGCTAGTTTGTTGGTTGGTTGTTGGATGGTAGTTGGTTGGTTGCTGGTTTGTTGTTTGTTGGATGGTAGTTGGTTGGCTGCTGGTTTGTTGTTTGTTGGTTGGTTGGTTGGTTGGTTGTTGGTTTGTTGCTGGTTGGTTGGTTGGTTGCTGGTTGGTGATTGTTAGGTTGCTGGTTATCAAATTGCTGGTTGGTTGGTTGCTGGTTGATTGGTGGTTGGTTGTTGATTGGTTGCTGGTTGGTTGGTTGTTGTTTGGTTGCTGGTTGGTTGATTGTTTGCTGGTTGGTTGGTATCTATTCTCAACTATAGTCTCACATGAACACGCACATGTATGTAATCTATCTCTGAACATGTTCCACAAATACTCCAGAAACGCCACATGGTCCACTTCTTTTACGACAGCAGACGGTTGCCGAGGGAGACGATGAATGAGTCTCTAACTGAAGCCTCAGTCACAGGGGGAAAGGGACACTGAGAGGCTGACCAGAGAGAGAGAGATCAGAGAGGAAACCAAAGAGAGAGAGAGACTAGAGAGAAACCAGTGAGAGAGAGAGACCTGAGAGAAATATATAAGAGAGAGAGAGACCAGAGAGAGATACAAGAGAGAGAGAGTCCAGAGAGAGATCAGAGAGGAAACCAAAGAGAGAGAGAGACTAGAGAGAAACCAGTGAGAGAGACCAGAGAGAGATCAGAGAGAGAGAGAGACCTGAGAGAAATATATAAGAGAGAGAGACAGACCAGAGAGAGTCCAGAGAGAGATCAGAGAGGAAACCAAAGAGAGAGAGAGACCAGGGAGAGACCAGAGAGAGAGAGAGAGATTTGAGAGACCAGAGAGAGACTTATAAGTTCATTCTCATATATCCTCACTGTGGGACTGATAAAGGTTTCATTATAACAGATGTAATTAGCCGCACATGCTAACCATAACATACAAGATTCTGCCTTTATCCTTCATACACTTTTATTAGCCGTTAGCAGTTAACAGTGTGTCTGTGACTGTAGTAATGTAGCGTATAGTGTGGTGTTGTTGCGGTGGTGAGAGGCTGTGGGTGGACTGACTCGTGCCTCTGTCTGACATCAACAAACTATTGTCTAACGCAGAATATAAAACAGCACACACAGACTTCCACTGTCCGCGGGCCACCGGGACGGTCCTGTAACAACATTAAATCAGAAATAATCACAGAACCTTCAAAAGAGTAAACATAGAATCCTTCTGTTGTTGCAGCGAAACTGAACTGTTTTTAACCTGGATTTGGACATTGTCAGAGAAGAAGCCTGTCTCACATTTTATAATAATGTTCCAGATTTTAGTAGCATGAATCCGAAAAGCTGCCTTTCCATATAGTTCTGACTCTGGGACCAGCAGGAGGCCAGTCCCTGTGCTCCTCAGAGTCCCAGGAGGAGGCCAGTCCCTGTGCTCCTCAGAGTCCCAGCAGGAGGCCAGTCCCTGTGCTCCTCAGAGTCCCAGCAGGAGGCCAGTCCCTGTGCTCCTCAGAGTCCCAGCAGGAGGCCAGTCCCTGTGCTCCTCAGAGTCCCAGCAGGAGGCCAGTCCCTGTGCTCCTCAGAGTCCCAGCAGGAGGCCGGTCCCTGCGCTCCTCATAGTCCCAGCAGGAGGCCAGTCCCTGCGCTCCTCAGAGTCCCAGCAGGAGGCCAGTCCCTGTGCTCCTCAGAGTCCCAGCAGGAGGCCGGTCCCTGTGCTCCTCAGAGTCCCAGCAGGAGGCCGGTCCCTGTGCTCCTCAGAGTCCCAGCAGGAGGCCAGTCCCTGTGCTGCTCTGAGTCCCAGCAGGAGGCCAGTCCCTGTGCTCCTCATAGTCCCAGCAGGAGGCTAGTCCCTGTGCTCCTCAGAGTGGTTCATATGGCACTAACATGTTGTGGACATTTGTGGACAGTCTACATCCCTTTCCTTATATGGACTAACGGCCCCTATGTGTTTGTTATTATTGCATTTCCTGTTTTGGTTCCGTCTGCTCTCTCACTCTGCTCTCGCTTTCTGCTCTTTCACTCTCTACTCTGTCACTGTGCTCGCTCTTTCTGCTCTCTCACTCACTGCTCGCTCTTTCTGCTCTCTCACTCACTGCTCGCTCTTTCTGCTCTCTCACTCTGCTCTTTCTGAGCTCTCTCACTTTTTCTGCTCGTTCACTCTCTGCTCTCTCGCTGTGCTCGCTCTTTCTGCTCTCTCTCTCTCTGTTCTCTGCTCGCTCACTTTCTACTCTCACTGTGCTTGCTCTCTCTGATCTCTCTCTCCCTCTCGCTGCTCTTTCACTCTCTACTCTCTCAATGTTCTTTCTGCTCTCTCTCTCTGGTCTCTCTTTGTCTGCTCACTCTCTCTCCTCTCTCGCTCTCTCTGCTTTCACTCTTGCTCTCTCTCACGTTCTGCTCTCTCTCTCCTCTCTCGCTCTCTCTCTCTGCTCTCTCTCTCTCTGCTCTCTCTCTCTGCTCTCTCTATACAAAAGTAAATTTGAATCATCATGTAGAGCTATGGCAGCCTGTTAGGATCACACTCAGATGAAGGGATCATTACACAATTTAGTCTCAGTCTCGTTTTGAAAGACCAAAAACAATTCCGCATGTTTCCTGTGTAAAACTCTCTCTCTTACATAACTGTACATACACGTACATACGTCCCCCCCTTCCCCTCCCGCGCGTGCACGTGTGTCTGCGTGGGGGGCGTGCGCTGCCACCACGCCCCCCCTGGTCCTCCACGCTCCCGCGGCTTCCATAGGCCAGACGCAAAGGTGCCGTGCGCTTTATATAGAGCTCCACAGTCCGTGCGCCTCTCGCTCCTCTCTCCTCCCGATCCAGCAGCGCCAGACCCGACCATCACCGCCGACCATCATGCCCAGCAAGAGGAAGAAGAACAAACGACGCATGCGCAGAGTGGTAAGTGCCAAAATCTGATTATAGAATTTAAATATGTATTTTTAATTCAATGTATGTGTATATATCTCTAAATCACAACAGTATGGCAGTCATAGAGAGACTATGGAGAGAGACAAGAGAGACCAGAGAGAGACCAGAGAGACCAGAGAGAGACCAGAGAGAGACCAAAAAGAGACCAGAGAGAGACCAGAGAGAGACCAGAGAGACCAGAGAGAGACCAGAGAGACCAGAGAGAGACCAGAGAGAGACCAGAGAGACCAGAGAGAGACCAGAGAGACCACAGAGAGACCAGAGAGAGACCAAAAAGAGACCAGAGAGAGGCCAGATAGAGACCAGACATGTCCTTAGACCCTCCTGCCTCAGCAACAGACACCAATCAAAAAAGTGGGATAAAAGTGAGAAACCTTGGGTAGACTCCGGCTGTAGAACGACGGGTATACAATAATTGAGTTGATGTTTTTGCATGTTCTCTCTATACCTCTCTAATGTTGCAATAGTCGCTGCACATGTGTCTGACAAAGCAACACTTATAATTGTTAAATGTAAACGTCTGAACTCTGTTATGCGTGGTGCGTCTTTGCAGTAGTGAAAACAGACGCACGCCCCATGTACAACGTAAACAATGAGGTCATTAGTAGAAACGGTGAATCGAATAAAAAGGAGAAAAAACACGATTTTGTTGAAGTACTATGTTTTGTTTATGGTCGTTGTTGTGTCTTTGTTGTTTCATGTGTGTTCTGGGGGTAACAGTGTAAGTAACGCGTTACGCGTTACTTACACTGTGGATGCTGGAAGTGGATTTAAATCAGATTAAATTCGAGTGTTTTGATGATGATCTGAAAGAAACGCAAAGGTACAGTGTGTGCGAAAAGAAGGACACGTGGTGGACCCTGAGCGCCACAAAGAGACCTGGAAACGCACAAAAAACAGAAGAAAAAAAATCTGACTTCTGAACATTGAGTGCCAAAGCGGAGGGGGCGTGGCAACAGCGGCGCGCGCGAGAGGCGAGGGTACACCGTGTCTGGAACTGCTGAGGTGGCGATTAACCGAGTCGTTTTACTCGAGTACTGACCTCGGGGTCCGATTTTGACGTTTGGGGACACGTTTTCTGCTCCTTACGTTTCTACACGTGGTTGAAATTTAAGGTCATTAATACAGGTCTGAATTGGTTAGCCATGCTTCTAAGTTCATGATATAGACACATGGCTGAAGTGGTTTGCCATGCTTCTAAGTTCATGATATAGACACATGGCTGAAGTGGTTAGCCATGCTTCTAAGTTCATGATATAGAAGCATGGCTGAAGTGAAGTGGTTAGCCATGCTTTTTTTAGTTCATGATATAGAAACATGGCTGAAGTGAAGTGGTTAGCCATGCTTCTAAGTTTATGATATCGAAAAATGGCTGAAGTGGTTAGCCATGCTTCTAAGTTCCTGATATAGAAAAATGGCTTTAGTGGTTAGCCATGCTTCTAAGTTCATGAATGCAGGTCTGACGACGGTAGCCATGCTTCTAAGTCTGAAATGGTTTCTCATGCTGGTTTTAATCTGGTTAGCCGTGCTTCTAAGTTAATAATAAAAAATAAAAAAACAGGTGGAAAAGAGTCAGCCATGCTTCTAAGTTGTAAGTAATTAGCCAGACATCAGTTCATGAACACCTGTCTGAAGTGGTTAGCTGTGCTTCTAAGTTTGAAGTGGTTTGCCATGCAGGTTTTAAACTGGTTTGTTATGGTGTCAACTGATTAGCCCTGCTTCTAAGTTAAATATATTGCCTTTTGCGTTTTTGCTGAAGTCTCACTTTTTGTAGAGTAAAGTAGAGTTGGTGGAAATGGGGCTTAAGGCTATAACTTGAATACTGTAGCTTTGACTGGAGCTGTTTTGTTTTGGTGCTTTTGGCCCATTCTTCACAAACACGCGTCTCGTCTGAAGCACTTTCTCTAACATGGATCTGTGGACGCTCTTCAATAATTCATACGTTGCTTCTAACATAGTTTGTGTTTGGGCTGAGAGCCTCCCCCTCCTCCCTCCCTCCTCCCTCCCTCCTCCCTCCTCTCGTCTGCCTCTCATCACCGGCAGCAGCTGAATATGGCAATGAGAGCAGGAGAGGAATGCTCTGCAGAAGCCTGTGTAAAAATGACTCCAGTTCATCAGAGCCAAAATGTCCTCATCTCAGCCCCATGTTCTGAGTTCAGTAGTCTCCAATCTGTAACTTAATAATAATAACAATAATAATAATAATAATCTCTCAATATATCTCAAAGTCTCTTAAGTACTGTAAATATTTTTTCACTCCAAACACGGTGGTGATGAATTACTAGTGTAGCTACAGCTGCCCTGGGGCACACTGAGAGAAGCGAGGCAACCAGTCTGTGCCATCGGCCCCTCCCACCACCACCAACCATTCACACACACACCAGACTCATTCTAATGTGGGGGGAGTGTCTCGGACACAACCACAGTTTGGCATTTTACAGCCGCAGCTGCCCCACTGTGGCCCCTGGTCTCCCATCACATTTCTAACCAGGCACTGCCCCGCTTAGTTTCAGAGGTCGGACGGTATCTGGCCCCCACGATCCTAATATTTTAGATTGTGAGTCATTGCATATCAATAGGTAGCTAGTTAGTAGATAGTTAGTAGGTAACTAGTTAGTAGGTTACTAGTGAGTAGTTAGCTAGTTTGTAGGTAGCTATTTATTAGGCAGCTAGTTTGTAAGTAGCTAGCGTTGTAGGTTGCAGGTTCTTAAGTAGCTAGTTTGTAAGTAGCTAGTTTTGTAGGTAGCTAATTTGTAATTAGCTAGTTTTGTCTGTATATATTAGGTAGCTAGTTATACAGTAACATGGTACATTTTCCGCAGATATTTCATTGACTAAAGTTGTATTACGCCTCCAAAAAACAGTAGCTCCCTGACATTTCTGTTGCGCTAAAGTAGCTCGCCGTTTGCTCTCCGGTCGAAAAATCCTGGAGAGCTCTGTTTTAGTTCATCAGAGCCAAAATGCCTTATCCAGCAGCTGAATATGGCCATGAGAGCACTGAGGAGGAATGCTCAGCTGAAGCCTGGATAACCATGGCTCCAGTCGGACGGTGGCCTGCGTCTGTAATCAGAGCTCTCAGAAAAGGCTGAAACTACAGAGGCTTGCAAACAGACAGCTTTGGGTTGCCTTATGTATGAACTGTGCTATATAAATAAACTTGCCTTGTCTTGTTTTGCATTCAACACAAGTCATATCAAAACTATATCAGAAAATGTGTAATTCACCAGGAAGACGTTTCACTTTATTGACTCTCGGCACAAAATGGCCGACACGGACACGCCCTCAATCTGGCTCCTATGAAAAAATGAAAAATCAAACTCAGACCTGTCAGGCCAGTCAGACCTCTGAAGCTAAGCTGGGCAGGTCCTGGTTAGTACTGTGATGGGAGACCTCTATAGGTGCCACAGTGGGGCGGCTGCGGCTGTACAGTGCCTGGTGAGTGTGAATGAGTGAATGAGTCTGGTGTGTGTGTGAGTGGTGGTGGTGGGAGGGGCCGATGGCACAGACTGGTTGCCTCGCTCCTGTCAGTGTGCCCCAGGGCAGCTGTGGCTACACTAATATAAAACCAATTTATTAATATAAGTATTGAATATAAACCAGGGATAGCAGCCAATAAAAACAGCCCAAACTGCTGATTAAAAAAACATTATTAAATTCCAGTATCTTTACCAAAACTGTTATTTATTTTGCTGGTGTTTAAATTACTACTACTACTACTACTACTACTGCTACTACTACTGCTACTACTACTACTACTACTGCTACTACTACGACTACTACTACTACTGCTACTACTACTACTACTGCTACTACTACTACTACTACTGCTACTACTACTACTACTGCTACTACTGCTACTACTACTACTACTGCTACTACTACTACTACTACTGCTACTACTGCTACTACTACTACTACTGCTACTACTACTACTACTACTACTGCTACTACTACTACTACTACTGCTACTACTACTACTACTACTACTACTGCTACTACTACTACTACTACTGCTACTACTACGACTACTACTACTACTGCTACTACTACTACTACTACTATTACTCCACACCACTTCTGAATCAACATAATCTATAAAGTGTTTCTATGTCGCTGTCTTTAGATAATAATAAATATAAAAACCAATTCTCCTCTACGCTGTCAGAGCCGTGGGGAGAGACACCAGAGGCTGACTTTCGCTTTGGCATTTGGCGTCTGTGTGTGAAGCCAATAATTCTACACGTGGACTTTTATTGGAGTTCTGACCGAGACAACAACATCAACCAAGAAGCAATTCCTAACCTTTTAAAATGTCATCTTTAAAATAGTTGTAAACTGGTTATCAGCTTCTATCTATGCTCTATAGTTCATCAGAGCCAAAATGCCTTGCTCCAATAATCTGGAGGAAGCAATTTCTGTTTAAGATATGTGCAAAAAATGTGTGTATTTGATAAAGAAGTATTCCCAGAAGAGAAGGAGAGAGAAACCTGAAGATTTTTTAGATTTCAGAATCAGAATCATTTTTATTGCCACGTAAGTAACAGGAGGTCACAGACTTGGAAATTGCTTTGGCTCAGTGCAACAGTCAGAAAGAGAGGTAAGGGTAGGGACGGCGTGATAAAAAATAAAGAATAAAAAATACATTTAAATTTTAAATAATATGTATAGAGTTACAATTACTATAAACAATATACAGTGCACATGGGGCACACAATGTAAGGAGACAGCAGTACAGTGAGGTAAAGTGACGTATGATGCGGCAATTTGGGAGGTACTTTTAGGAACTTAATGTGGATATTTTATTGTTGTATTTAGATTTAAATTCTTGGATTAACCTGAAGAAGGCTGAGTATTGTGGAGAGATACAGATTTTTGAATTATGATGAGGTATAACACAAAATACCACTAAAACCATGCACAATAGTTCCCCCTCTCTCAGGGGCCAGGACTCTCCCTCGACTGAGACTGTTCTGGTTTAATATCTCTGTATTGCCCTAAATCACAACAAATCTCGGAGGACTTTACAAAGTTGTTGATTTGCCAACGACAGATCAGAGAATCAAATGCAATGATAGGTGGTAGGTGACCAATGCTCATAAATGTCCATGCATTTTGTGGAATATCCTGGATCATCACCACTGTGCTGCATCAGCAAGAAATAACAAATAAAAAAAATACGAAAACATCCATTAAATTAATAATAAGTGTGAATTGAGCCTCAGTTGGTGTATGGAATGTGCTTTAAAAATTATATTTCAATTTATTTCATGGCGGCTTTCTAGACACCCAAGGATGCCTAGCAATAGATCGAAAACATCACACACAATATTAAAAATACAAATTAGCATACATTTAAAGTGTTACAAAGAATAAGCCGATTTAAAAAGGTAGGTTTTTAGATGTGATTTTCAAATGTCCCGAGTCTAACTTTTGCAGATGAATTGGTTTAGTGTACAAGGTTCTACATGGTTCGGACTGAAGGACCGAGCCTTCTGAACCCTGAGGACCGAGCCTTCTGAACCCTGAACCCTGAGGACCGAGCCTTCTGAACCCTGAACCCTGAGGACCGAGCCTTCTGAACCCTGAGGACCGAGCCTTCTGAACCCTGAGGACCGAGCCTTCTGAACCCTGAGGACCGAGCCTTCTGAACCCTGAGGACCGAGCCTTCTGACCCCTGAACCCTGAGGACCGGGCCTTCTGAACCCTGAACCCTGAGGACCGGGCCTTCTGAACCCTGAACCCTTAGGACCGAGCCCTCTGAACCCTGAGGACCGAGCCTTCTGAACACTGAACCCTGAAGACCGAGCCCTCTGAACCCTGAACCCTGAAGACCGAGCCCTCTGAACCCTGAACCCTGAAGACCGAGCCCTCTGAACCCTGAACCCTGAGGACCGAGCCCTCTGAACCCTGAGGACCGAGCCTTCTGAACACTGAACCCTGAAGACCGAGCCCTCTGAACCCTGAACCCTGAAGACCGAGCCCTCTGAACCCTGAACCCTGAGGACCGAGCCCTCTGAACCCTGAGGACCGAGCCTTCTGAACACTGAACCCTGAGGACCGAGCCCTCTGAACCCTGAGGACCGAGCCTTCTGAACACTGAACCCTGAAGACCGAGCCCTCTGAACCCTGAGGACCGAGCTTTCTGAACCCTGAGGACCGAGCCTTCTGAACCCTGAGGACCGAGCCTTCTGAACCCTGAGGACCGAGCCTTCAGAACCCTGAGGACCAGGCCTTCGCCGCAGTCCCCCACTCTCTAGACCTCACTCCCACAACCATCAGAAACTCCCACTCACTTTAAATCACTTCTCAAAACCCACCTGTTTCAGCCTTTCCTTCATTTTTGTTCTTCAAAGGTTATTCTTCTGTGTTTTGTACAGTGTCTTTGAGTGTCCAAAAATCTCTATATCAGTTTGATGCCTTATCATTATTATGATTATTACATACATTATTCATCTACAATTGTGGACAGGATCAACATAAATACTGTTTGCAAAACTTCTTTAAAAGTGACTGCACTGGTTGTAGGTTTACGTCGCTGTGATTAAGCCCCCTGGATCTGCCTTGGCTCCTGCTGACTCGTGTCATTTCTCTCCCGCTTGGCCAGACCTGTCAGCCCGGCTCCGATGGGAATCATTAGAATGCTTTATCCAAACCAGCTTTTGGTCTGGCGCACGTCGTGAGCCCTTTGTCCCGGGTTGAACAACACGTTGGACCTGATCGGGCTGGCATCCGCGGTATTTCCACTCACAGACGATCCATCAACAACACACTGTCACTGTGGGTTTGTAATGTATACATGTATACTGTGATGTATACTGTGATGTATACTGTGATGTATACTGTGGTGTATACTGTGATGTATACTGTGATGTATACTGTGGTGTATACTGTAATGTATACTGTGATGTATACTGTGGTGTATACTGTAATGTGGTGTATACTGTAATGTATACTGTGATGTATACTGTGATGTATACTGTGATGTATACTGTGATGTATACTGTGGTGTATACTGTGATGTATACTGTGGTGTATACTGTGATGTATACTGTGATGTATACTGTGGTGTATACTGTGGTGTATACTGTGATGTATACTGTGATGTATACTGTGGTGTATACTGTGATGTATACTGTGGTGTATACTATGGTGTATACTGTAATGTATACTGTGATGTATACTGTGGTGTATACTGTAATGTATACTGTGGTGTATACTGTGATGTATACTGTGGTGTATACTGTGATGTATACTGTAATGTATACTGTGATGTATACTGTGATGTATACTGTGATGTATACTGTGGTGTATACTGTAATGTATACTGTGATGTATACTGTGGTGTATACTGTAATGTATACTGTGGTGTATACTGTGATGTATACTGTGGTGTATACTGTGATGTATACTGTAATGTATACTGTGATGTATACTGTAATGTATACTGTGATGTATACTGTGATGTATACTGTGATGTATACTGTGGTGTATACTGTGATGTATACTGTGGTGTATACTATGGTGTATACTGTGATGTATACTGTAATGTATACTGTGATTTATACTGTGATTTATACTGTGATATATACTGTAATGTATACTGTAATGTATACTGTGAAGGCGGTTCCAGTCTGTTTACAAGATTTCAATGTGTTTCTGTCTTTACTATAACCCAGGGGTGTCCAAACATTTTAGTTAGATGCCTCTTTAGTTCTTCAGACAACCTGGATTGTCATGTGGTATCTACTGGATTTAGTCTGTTCTGAACTTTAGAATGAGCTAAAACAGAGCTGAAGTTGGCTGAATGACAAATGTTTACCAGCTAAATACGCAACATAGATTGATTTTGTGACACAAGAAATGCCAGTATATACAAATAAAGTAAATGGCTGAATTCTGGAGGTCCTGAGTTTTACAAGGAGGTACAAATTATCTAAATTGGCTGAGATTAAGTTGGCTAGATGATCTCAAAGACTGCTTTAGATTAAGAACGCATAGGGCCATATAAAATGACACAGAGGGTCGCATTTGGCCCACGGCCTTAGTTTGGACATGCCTGCTGTAACCGGTCAGTCGAGCTGTTTAAGATGTATAAGAAGAGAACCTGTGTTCGTCCCACGGTGAGGACATTTCAGTGTTGCAACAGTTTTAGTTAGCATTTGTTAGCATTAACCTTGAAAGTTTGAACAAACAGTTTATTCTTCTGTGCAACTACTCAACATGTGTACCTTTTTGATCTTCTAAAAAGCATCAAGTAGCATTAGCCTTTCAACAAACTGTTTTACCCGACACATTTACCTTATTGATCTTTGTAAATGTGTGACTTTTTCTGTATGGATATGTAGTAAAAATTGATCGATACTTACTGACTTTTAATAAAACAGGTAAAAATTAAACGTTTTTTGAGAGGAACTTTGGTTCTCAGAGTCCATGTGTTTATGTATTTCTGTCTTACTGTAATGGGTAAGACAGAGTCCCAGCAGGAGGCCAGTCCCTGTGCTCCTCAGAGTCCCAGCAGGAGGCCAGTCCCTGTGCTCCTCAGAGTCCCAGCAGGAGGCCAGTCCCTGTGCTCCTCAGAGTCCCAGCAGGAGGCCAGTCCCTGTGCTCCTCAGAGTCCCAGCAGGAGGCCAGTCCCTGTGCTCCTCTGAGTCCCAGCAGGAGGCCAGTCCCTGTGCTCCTCAGAGTCCCAGCAGGAGGCCAGTCCCTGTGCTCCTCAGAGTCCCAGCAGGAGGCCAGTCCCTGTGCTCCTCAGTCCCAGCAGGAGGCCAGTCCCTGTGCTCCTCAGAGTCCCAGCAGGAGGCCAGTCCCTGTGCTCCTCAGAGTCCCAGCAGGAGGCCAGTCCCAGTGCTCCTCAGAGTCCCAGCAGGAGGCCAGTCCCTGTGCTCCTCAGAGTCCCAGCAGGAGGCCAGTCCCTGTGCTCCTCAGAGTCCCAGCAGGAGGCCAGTCCCTGTGCTCCTCTGAGTCCCAGCAGGAGGCCAGTCCCAGTGCTCCTCAGAGTCCCAGCAGGAGTCCAGTCCCTGTGCTCCTCAGAGTCCCAGCAGGAGGCCAGTCCCTGTGCTCCTCAGAGTCCCAGCAGGAGGCCAGTCCCTGTGCTCCTCAGAGTCCCAGCAGGAGGCCAGTCCCTGTGCTCCTCAGAGTCCCAGCAGGAGGCCAGTCCCTGTGCTCCTCAGAGTCACAGCAGGAGGCCAGTCCCTGTGCTCCTCAGAGTCCCAGCAGGAGGCCAGTCCCTGTGCTCCTCAGTCCCAGCAGGAGGCCAGTCCCTGTGCTTCTCAGAGTCCCAGCAGGAGGCCAGTCCCTGTGCTCCTCAGAGTCCCAGCAGGAGGCCAGTCCCTGTGCTCCTCAGAGTCAAAGTTGGTTCCATATGGCACTAACATTATTAGCCATATTTTCCCAAACATTCGCGCTTCAATCCAGTTTTTTCCTCGTATGTTTAACTAGCATGTCCTTGTTTCTGTCTCCGCAGCAAGCTCAGAGGAGAATCTTGGAAGAGCAGTATGCAGCCAATCCTCCGGCCAAAGCCAGCCCCGCCTTAATTGTAGGCGCACCAGGAACTGTTTCCAAAAAGACTCCCAAAAAACCCAAATCCACTGCACAGAAAGCGGCCCCCAAAGCTCCGGACGTGATCGCCAAGGCGCCAGAAGTCCCCAAAGTCCCAGAAGTGGTTTCCAAAGCACCAGAGATCGTCGAGGAAGTTCCTGAAGCAGTTGCTATCGTGGAAGTCCCGAAGGTCGTTCCTAAAGTTGAGCCGCCCGCAGAGGAACCGGTCGTTGAACCAGCGAGAGTCGAGGAACCAGAGCCAGAGGTGGTAGTGGCTGCGGTGGAAGTCACAGAGACTCCAGCTCCGGTCGTCCAGGATGAAGAGATCGTGAAAGAGGAACCAATCGTCGCAGAAGAACCCGTCGTCGAAGCGGTCGTAGAGGAGGAGAAAGTAGTGGAAGAACCAGTCATTATTCCTGAAGCAGAGCCAAAGATCCAGGTAAGGAGCACGCTGGACATAGACTGTATATATGGACAATGCTAACCTGCTAGCTCAATGCTAACCAGCTAGCCCTTCGCTAGTGCTATCCACTCAGCAGGTGGCTGAGTGGATAGCACTCTCGCCTCTCAGCAAGAAGGTCCTGGGTTCGAATCCCGGTCGGACCAGGGCCTTTCTGAGTGGAGTTTGCATGTTCTCCCCGTGTCTGCGTAGGTTTCCTCCGGGTGCTCCGGTTTCCCCTACCACTAAAAATATGTTCAATAGTTCTAGCATGCGCCTCCTGTACTGGCCCCGCTCCCATCTCTGTGTGGAGTGAGAGACAAATGCCCAAAAATTAACAATTGTAAACCGCTTTGAGACTCAGATCTGCAGTGAAAAGACGGTATATAAATAAAGATTACTTACTTACTACTTACTACTAGCTCAATGCTAACCAGCTAGCACTATGATGTCCGTGATGACGTCTTGAGTGAAGTCGTTCTACTACTTGCAGTGTTAGACGAGTTACTTCAATCAATCAATCTGTGTTTATATAACTCTTTTCCTACACAGGGCAACACAACGCGCGTCACAGTCCACACCACACAAGGCACAAATCAGCAAATAAAACACTAAAATCACCGTTAAAAACACAATTAAAATCACACAAGGGATTAAAATAATGAAAAACAACAATGCATCGAGTAGAGATGAAACGTTATACATTATTTAACACTTGTTATGGGGATTTTAAGTCTATGAATAGTGGGTTTAAAGGATGCCAGATGGAATATAAATGGTCTTTTTTGCAAGTGTAGGTGAGATTTGACAGTTTTCCAGCAGACATCAACACAATGTACATACAAACTTACAAGATTCATAGGGATCATTTTACAATACACTATACTTTACACAATACACTATACTATACTAATGTCAACTTTTCCATATATCGAAACTTTATCATGTGTAGAAACTTTATCATGTGTAGAAACTTTATCATATCAGCGGACGACTATATTTAACATCTAGAAACACTGTATTCTAATGAGAATTATAAATAAAGCAGGGACGTCAAAGTCAAATACATCAGAGGCCAAAAGAACAAATTTGCTACAAGCCGAGGGCCGGACTGGTTCAATGTTTATTAAAATGATGCATATAATCTATCGAACCAACACCTAGAACGATTGATAGATACTCAGGTGTCCAGTAGCAGCAAAAATTTAAAATAAAATTGATCATTCTAAAACGCTAACAATAGTATTAATCAGCAACAGCACTTCAGGTCACAGCAGCAGAGGTGGAGTAGCCTCTGGGTGGAGCAGGACGGGTCACAGCAGCAGAGGTGGAGTAGCCTCTGGGTGGAGCAGGACAGGTCACAGCAGCAGAGGTGGAGTAGCCTCTGGGTGGAGCAGGACGGGTCACAGCAGCAGAGGTGGAGTAGCCTCTGGGTGGAGCAGGACAGGTCATAAGGTGGAGTAGCCTCTGGGTGGAGCAGGACAGGTCACAGCAGCAGAGGTGGAGTAGCCTCTGGGTGGAGCAGGACGGGTCACTGTAGCAGAGGTGGAGTAGCCTCTGGGTGGAGCAGGACGGGTCACAGCAGCGGAGGTGGAGTAGCCTCTGGGTGGAGCAGGACGGGTCATAAGGTGGAGTAGCCGCTTGGTTTGGAGCATTTAGGTCCAAACACAGTGGACTGTATTTTATTTAATCGTTAAATGAATAATCCAATATTTTCGTATGGCTCTGTCAGTCATAATAAAACTTCAAAGAGAAAACACACGTCCTAAACGTTAGATGACTAATCCAATATTTTCTCATGACTCTTTGCGGACCGGTTCTAATACTAATCAAATGTCATCCCGGGGCCAAGATGATTCATTTGTGGGCCGGATCTAGCCCCCGGGCCTTGACTTTGACACCCATGAAATAGAGGAATCATCACATGCACCAAACATTTCAAATAATCTCCGACTCTTTGCCGTTCAATTCAATTCAATGTATTTTTGTATCGCCCTAAATCACAACAGTAGTTATCTCAGAGCATTTTACAAAATTGTCGATTCTCCAAAACAGATAAAATAAATAAATAAATAAATAATAAATAAAACAGATCAGAGAATCAAACAGTTCAAACACAAAAAGGGTGGTACGGTGGTTAGCTGAGTAGTTAGCATTCTCGCTTCTCAGCAAGAAAGTCCTGGGTTCGAATCCCGGTCGGAACAGGGCCTTTCTGAGGGGAGTTTGCATGTTCTGCCCGTGTCTGCGTAGGTTTCCTCCGGGTGCTCCGGTACCACTAAAAACATGCACAATAGGTATAAATGTAATGAGTGAATGGATGGTGTTTGGCGGAGGCTTTAAGTCCCTGTTCTTTGGTCATTTCTCACCCCAGTGCTCTCTCCACTCCCCTTATTTTACAGTAATAATCGATGAACTTGTGCCAGCCCTGTGCGTGTGCGTGTGCGTGTGCGTGTGCGTGTAATGGGCTCTTGAATCAGGTCAGGGAGAAAGTGGGCGTCGGCTTCGAGGTGGGCTCAAAGAGAACAGCGTGTTCCATTTCTCGCAGAGGTGCAGAGTGGGACTGGCTGCCTCTCTGTGGAGCCATTGCACACGTGGAGCAAAGAATGTGCTTTCTATGTGTCGACAGATCCAAGCAGGCAGCTGTACCATGTGTGCTACTATCGTTAGCATGCTAGCTTCTCACATTGTATAGTGTGTGTGTATGTGCTAGCGAAAAACCATGTTCAAGACCTGGTCCAATGGCTATAGACTTGACTGTGCCGTCTTCATGCATGGGTGATGGAGTTAATTTCAGTTGCTTATTTCTCACTTAAAGCTGAGGTACTTAGTTTTCAAAGCACAACAAATTCCTATGGAGTTCCCATGAGTCCAAACGATTAGCCTCTATCACTAATTTCCACATGCATGTATTGGCCTCTGTCACAGCTTTAGATTAGCTTTTTAAAGACAGAAATGTGAAAAAATAGAGAGAGGGGACCACCTTCACCTCATTCACGCCAATCAACTCCCAGCCCAAAGTGTCAAAAAGTGACCCACAGGGCTCATTCTTACAAAAAAAGCTAATGTTTTTTGTGTGCTAAGATGGCGACAGATTCTTATGGTCTAATTTTAGATAGATAGATAGATAGGAAGATACTTAATTGATCCCCGTAGGAGAAATTCAGGATTTACAAGACTGGGACCAACCTGTATGTAATGTATTATATGAGAAAATTTTTTACATTGCCCAGCTTTAAATATCTTACATACACATAATTGCCACGTGTGCATACATTGCTTTTTGCTGTTACCAAATCTAGCATTAGGCACACTATGTCTCTGCACACACACACACACACACACACACACACACACACACTCACACACACATGTCGATCTGCTCAGTCCACAGTCTACAGTAAATAGATGTTCTTTGTTCGCGTGAGCCAAACCGCCACCACATACATGTATTTCCAGCCCCCTCCTGCTTATTTTAAAGAATCTCTTATCAGTGTTGGGCCAATGCCAGACTCTGCTCAAGGCCTCACTGTCCAGCCGGTTTGCCAATAGTGAACTTTTTGACCCAACCCACACAACGTATACACCAGAAAAACTTGCTGCTGCTTATGATTTCTATACTTTAACCGCATGTGCGAGATTTCCCTGGCTTTCTGCACTGCAAGAAATAGCAGTGCGTATGGGATAGATTGGGATATATGGTATTGTCTTGTAATGATCATATCTGGTCTAAGCGGAGCCTGCTGGGTCTGGGATGTGATCATGTTTCCACCGTGTAAAGGGGAAGAATAGTTCGATAATGACCATCCAGTTTATGTATTGAATTCATATAGGTGCTATATTTTAGACATGGAAAAGCAGGCTATTTCTCACCGTTTCATTGGCGACTCTGCCGATAAAGCACAATCCATACCAAAGTGTGGGTAACCCTAACTGCTTAAGCTAAAATCAATACGTGTCAAGTATAAAAAACGGTGTAAATACTGTACATATGAAACTCATTGTTGTCATTGCCAACCTGGACTTAAACATTGCCAGAGACAGAGCTTGGCCTGGTCTTACAAGCTCAGGGAGACTGGATAAATCTGAAATGCTGACTCCGCATGTTTAGTCCTGAGTCTGGACACTAGCAGGAGGCCAGTCCCTGTGCTCCTCAGAGTCCCAGCAGGAGGCCAGTCCCTGTGCTCCTCAGAGTCCCAGCAGGAGGCCAGTCCCTGTGCTCCTCAGAGTCCCAGCAGGAGGCCAGTCCCTGTGCTCCTCAGAGTCCCAGCAGGAGGCCAGTCCCTGTCCTCCTCAGAGTACCAGCAGGAGGCCAGTCCCTGTGCTCCTCAGAGTCCCAGCAGGAGGCCAGTCCCTGTGCTCCTCAGAGTCCCATGAGGAGGCCAGTCCCTGTGCTCCTCAGAGTACCAGCAGGAGGCCAGTCCCTGTGCTCCTCAGAGTCCCAGCAGGAGGCCAGTCCCTGTGCTCCTCAGAGTCCCAGCAGGAGGCCAATCCCTATGCTCCTCAGAGTCCCAGCAGGAGGCCCGTCCCTGTGCTCCTCAGAGTCCCAGCAGGAGGCCCGTCCCTGTGCTCCTCAGAGTCCCAGCAGGAGGCCAGTCCCTGTGCTCCTCAGAGTCCCAGCAGGAGGCCAGTCCCTGTGCTCCTCAGAGTCCCAGCAGGAGGCCAATCCCTGTGCTCCTCCTAACATGTCACAGATGTACTTTGGTGTGAGGCCATGGAGAAACTTGCAATCAAAATGATACAAAATCCACTCAAAAAGACACATTTCTCCTTCTTTAACCAACTTTTTCCCACTTTTTTTCTCTCTCTCTTGTTTGCAATGTGTATGCAATAGGCTGCCCTGCACTTTGTCACGTACCACCTCCTCCCCCCCCCTTACTCCCCTCCACTCCCCCCTGACCTCTCCCAACATGTGCCAGTCTTCCCTTTGTAGAAGTGCATTCATTTCACCTTCTATTGCGATAAAGTGACAGTTTTATAGCATTGCAGCTCTGATAGTTGGGACCTTCTTGTACATATAGAAGCACAGACTTTGCCGTTTGTTGATGCTGCTTGAGTGAGGGCTGTATTTAAGGCAGACATGGGGGCAGTTTTGAGTAGGCTTCGTCCCAAACTGGAATTGCTTGATGCTCCGGAGACACAGGTGAGTGAGAGGCGCTCGCATGTGCTCTGACATGGGATAGCAGTTTGGCCCGGAAGGCATAGGGGGATGGTGGATGGTGGGTGTGTGTGTGAGAAAGAGGGGGGTGTGGCTCTTCTTGGACATTTTGTACCAAAGTCTTTACTATGCACACAAGCTGCTTGCAAGACCACATTTAGGTCCGTCCCATAAGGAGTGATGGATGGTTGTGGTTGCGTTGGTGAGTGAAGCAAGCGCAGTTGGGGATATACTGTTTATATAGTGAGAATAAAGAAGCCATGGTTCCAACTCGAGGCCCGCGAGCCAGAAGCGGCCTGCGAGACCATTGTCTGCGGCCCGAGAAAGGGTTTGTGCAACGATGTGGTTGAAAAGTACCACATGATTTAATTAATTGCTGGGTAAAATCCAAACCCAACATATCAATAGTAATTGTGAAAGGAATCAGTACATACCTGAGAGAGAGAGAGAGAGAGAGAGAGAGACTAAAGAGAGATGGACTAGAAAGAGATAGACCAGAGAGAGAGAGAGACCAGAAAGACTAGAGAGAGATAGACCAGAGAGAGAGAGACCAGAGAGAGAGGGACCAGAAATACTAGAGAGAGATAGACCAGAGAGAGAGAGAGACCAGAGAGATAGACCAGAGAGAAAGAGAGACTAGAGATAGACCAGAGAGAGACTAGAGAGCAATAAAATAGAGAAAGAGAGAGACCAGAGAGATAGCCCAGATATAGAGAGGGAGAGACCAGACAGAGAGACAAGAGAGAGAGAGATACTAGAGAGAGAGATAGACTAGAGAATGAGAGAGACCAGAGATAGGGAGAGACCAGACGGAGAGACTAGAGAGAGAGACCAGAGAGAGAGACTAGAGGGAGAGAGAGACCAGAGAGAGAGACCAGAGAGAGAGACTAGAGGGAGAGATACCAGAGAGAGAGAGACCAGACAGAGAGACTAGAGGGAGAGATACCAGAGAGAGAGAGACCAGACAGAGAGACTAGAGAGAGAGAGACCAGTGAGATAGACCAGAGAGAAAGAGAGACTAGAGAGAGATAGACCAGAGAGACTAGAGAGCAATAAAATAGAGAAAGAGAGAGACCAGAGAGATAGCCCAGATATAGAGAGGGAGAGACCAGACAGAGAGACAAGAGAGAGAGATACTAGAGAGAGAGAGACCAGACAGAGAGACTAGAGAGAGAGAGACCAGAGGGATAGACCAGATAGAAAGACCAAAGAGAGAGATAGACTAGAGAAAGTCTCTATAGGAAAGGTATGCAGATGTGCACAGGTGGAGGAAACTTTGAAACTACAATCTGTCATTCAGCGAAAGAATTTGAAAGTGACGAGTGACAAAACCAGCTCAACCAATTCCCAAGAATAATTTTGCACATTTTGTTGTCGTAATATATTATCGTGGATGGAGCTAAAAACTTTAAAATATCCATAATATAGCCAATTCCCACTGCTAATAGGAACAGAAAAACTTGCATGAGATGAGAAAGTACACAAAACCCGTCAATTTGACTGCTAACTGTTTCTGAGCTCACAGATAGTTACCTACAGGTTAACACGCCAAACACTGACCAGACTTTAGCGTCCACAGGCTGCAGTGGAGATACGGGACACTGTGTACTGGGAAGGGCCGAGGGGGAGTAGCATATAGGGGAAAGCCAGTATAGAGCCCTGCCTCACGCACACACACACACACACGCACACACACACACACACACAGAAATGTATACAGACTGCTCCTGTGACTTATGTGCCGTGTGGCTTTTGTTGAAATGAAAGATAAATCCCCACAGACTGAGGAGCCAGTGTTTATTTTTGGACGCACAAGTTACTGTAGGGCTGGTTGTGTGTTATGTGTTGTATGTCATGTGTTGTATGTTGGTTGTAAGTTGTGTGTTGGTTTTGTGTTGCATGTTATGTGTGTTTTTGTGTGTAAGGATTGAGAGGGATCGTCAGTCTGTCCTATATTTGAGGAGCTGTTGTATTATTCACTAAAACCCAAAGTTTTCAATTATTGATGAAAAGCTGAGAGTTCTCGCTGGGAGCACTTTGTCACGAACTTAAACATTGGGATTCTCAAAGCAGTCATTCTGACTGCTCCTGTTCAGACCCGTGGGATTCTGAAAATCTCTGAAGAACGACAACTAGTTTTCCATCAAGTCATTTATGAGGTTTTTAGCTTCACTCACTTTTAAGTGCTAATACTGATATCACTTCAAATACAGCAGTTGTTTAAATGCTAATACTAACAGTACACAGTGTGTTGCTATGGTAATTGTGGACAGGTTCAGAACCAGTCCAGAACCTGTCCAAGACCAGTCCAGATTCTGTCCAGACCCAGTCCAGGACCAGCTCAAGACTAGGGCTACATGATGGCGCAGTGGTTAGCGCATGTCTTTCATTACTGAAAAGAAGGTACTGAGTTTGATTCCACTCCAGAGTTTGCACGTTCTCACCGTGTCTGTATAGGTTATCTCCGGGTGCTCCGGTTTTCCCTACTACTTAAAGCTGCACTAACTGACTTTATTTTTGTATTCATTATGAAAATGCTATCCATGTCCATGTAGTGCATTGGGATATACGTCCTTTTGAAGAAAAAGTAGCGCAGATTTGTGCTGACGTGACATTATATTTTAGATCGAGTTTTGATGAAACAAGGAAGAGAATGTGTTTCGGGTCTCTGATTGTGACCAATCACAGCGCACCACTGGCCCCCACTTTCGTGAGAAATCTACAGGTCCCTCTTAGCACAGACAGCCGAGGTAAACAAGCGGAGGAGCTAACCTGAAGCTTCCTCGTCTGCGTCACCGGTTACTGCTTACACAGCGAGACAGCCATCCAAAAGACGCTTCACGGTTCTATCGTTCTATGGTCACGCCGTCCACCTGCAAATCCATATCCATGTATTATCCATATTGGGAGACGCTAGCTCCGTCAACAACAGTGGGTGTGCGGTAGCGGGGGGCAATAGCTTCGTGGGTGCGGGGAGGGGAGCAGAAAGAGAGAGGCGAGCGAGGCCAGCGAGTCTGCGGCTTCATAATCCCAAAGTCAGTCAGTGCAGCTTTAAAACATGTACAATAGATCTGGCATCTGCCTCGTGTCGGTGACCTCTGTGTGGAGAGACAAAATCCCACTACAAAAGTAAAGCGCTTTGTGAATATTAATATATATAAAAATGACTTACTACTTAGTCTAGGACCAGTCCAAGACCAGCCCCAAGACCAGCCCCAAGACCAGCCCCAAGACCAGCCCCAAGACCAGCACCAAGACCAGCACCAAGACCAGCACCAAGACCAGCACTAAGACCAGCCCCAAGACCAGCCCCAAGACCAGCCCCAAGACCAGCACTAAGACCAGCACTAAGACCAGCCCCTTGGAGAAAAGGGGCCTTAACTGCGATTGATTGAAATTGGGTTCATTCAGATACATGGAGCAGTCAAAATGACGGCTCTGGGAGTTAGATAAAAGTAATGACATAAACAAATAACCCACACATAGAAAGAGTCACAAAGTTAGGAAGACCATGAAGGTGCATGAGTTTAGTTATTAAACCAGAACTAGCTCCGTCAAAGTGACTACTGCTCTGGGAGTTCTGGTAAAAACCAGAAAAACACACTGAGAACTAACATTTGACCTACGGCGGTTATTTAAGAACATTGTCTGAACTCGAGGCAGCAGCGTCCGTGTCCTACTTTGTGAAATTCCTCCATAGAAATGAGGCCTTTCCTTTTCCTCGGGCAAAAGGATCACTCAAATCTACATAAGTTTCTCTCTCTGTGATTCTAATGCACTGTTTCTACTCCACCTGGTTTGTGTTCCCATTACACTTTAGGATCTGGTACTGTATCCTAGCAACCGACCCACAACAACCCAGCAGCACTCTGACCAATCACGGTCAGTTAGAACAGGGGTTCCCAAAGTTTTTAGCCCGCGACCCCCATCATAAATGCCCTGCTAACCCTACTCTACTCTACTCTACTCTACTCTACTCTACTCTACTCTACTCTACTCTACTCTACTCTACTCTACTCTACTCTACTCTACTCTACTCTACTCTACTCTACTCTACTCTCTCCTGATTAGTAGTTTCCTCTGGTCCAGTGTAACCAGTACCAGGTCCTTCTTTAGTCCCTCTTGGTCCTGGTTCTATCCAGGTCGAGCTGGTTCTAAAGTGTTCTAACTGACAGTGACCAGAGTGCTGCTGGGTTAGGGTTGTTGTGAGGGTTTGTTGTGGGTACTAAAGCGTAACGGAAACACAACCAGTTTTTGTTGAGGAGCCCAGCTGACACATGGTTTATGACCGCGGCGTTGCTGGTTCCTCCCTCTCGCCCTGAGGTCGACTATCAGAGCGACGAGTGAAATACCTGACTCTGAATCTGGTTCTACTGCTGCTCTAACCGCTCTCTCTGTGTTTTTACAGGTCACAGCAGAAGTACCAGAAGTCTCTCCTGCAGAAGTACCAGAAGTCACTCCTGCAGAAGTACCAGAAGTCACCCCTGCAGAAGTACCAGAAGTCACTCCTGCAGAAGTAACAGAAGTTACTCCTGCAGAAGTACCAGAAGTTACTCCTGCAGAAGTACCAGTAGTGGTTCCAGAGGAAGTGCGGGTAAAACTATATCTCAGCTTTTAAAGAGCACTGATTGACTGATCTAAGATTGATACCGAGACCAGCTAGAGAGACCTGCGAGAGAGAAACCCAGTGAGAGAGACCAGAGAGAGAGAGATAGAGAGAGAGACCTGCGAGAAAGAGAGATAGAGAAACCAGAGAGAGACCAGAAAGAGAGAAACCCAGCGAGAGAGACCAGAGAGAGAGAGACTAGAGAGTGACCAAAGAGAGAGACACTATCCTGACTGCATACATTTGAAACCCTCAGGAAAAATCAAATCTAATATTGTAAAATGTGTATAATTCATTAAATTGACTTTATATTTGTTCTTTTTAAGACTGTCCAAGAAGAAACCCTGGTCACTAAAGAGATCGAGCAGGTAACGGACTCATACAGCGGCTTTAGCTCAAGTGAACCCAACACGCTCCCACGACTCACACGCTCCCAAAGGGCGCCCAATCAAATGTCTTCTGTAGATTTCTAAATAAAAAACTGAATTAAATTAAACAGACAGTATGGAGCTGTGTGTGTGTGTGTGTTTGTGTGTGTGTGTTTGTGTGTGTGTGTGTTTGTGTGTGTGTGTTTGTGTGTGTGTGTTTCTCTATCGCTCTCTCGCTTTCTTTCCACCAACAACAGATCAGAGAATCTAACAGGAAATGCAATAATAACAAACACAAAGGAGCCATCTTTCTCTCTATCTCTATATCTCTCTGGTCTCTCTCTATCCCTTATCTTTTTGTCTCTCTCTTTGGTCTCTCTCTGGTCTCTCTCTCTACCCCGGCCTTTTTCTCTCTGGTCTCTCTCTCTCTTCTCGCTCTCTGGTCTCTGTCTATGGTCTCCCCGTTTCTGGTCTCTCTCTCCTCTCTATCTCTCTTCTGCCTCTCTCTGGTCTCTCACACTCTCTCTGGTCTCTCACACTCTCTCTGGTCTCTCACACTCTCTCTGGTCTCTCTTTCTGCTATAATAATAAACATTCGTCCATAGAGAGCTCCTTTTTCGTCATCTCATGGACCAGTTAAAGCCCCCGGCCCATCTGTCTAAATTCTTTGTTTTCAAACTTGTTACACTCTGACAAATCCCCCAACCATGAGGTCATCTGTTAAAACAAAAGCCTCTTGATCTTGGAACATATATTTGCCTTCAGATGTTCTTATATGTTCTATACAAACATGTTATTCCCCACACCTACCACAAGATGGCAGTGCGTATCCACACATTTTAATATCAACATCCTATTTAAGGGACACCATACACAGTGACGATGTATTATGCGTTAAATTTAATTCGTAATGTCCTCTTTTTAAGGCTATCCAAGAAGAAATTCCGGTTGCCACGGAGACCGAACAGGTAACGACCAATCAAACGCAAGCTGGAGGTTGATGTTGTTGCATTTCATCCATACGTCACCATCGTAGCTGTAGCCCGAGTCCTCACCGGCAGAACGAGTGCTTTTGTCCATGTTTCAGAGAGTACCACAAAGAACAAGTGGAGGTTCGAGATGGATGAAGCCATTTTTACTAAACTATAGCTAAGTAGGGAAGGGTCTGGGTAAGCCCTGAGATGGGAGACCTGTGCTCCGATTTTAAGAACTTTAGCAGCTGAGCTAACACTAAATGATTTTGTCAAACCGGTTCCAGAAAAGGCAGTTTCCTAAAGTGAGTCTTTACCGGAAGACTTGAGGAAATGGGTGCAGTCTAGTCTGCTCCTGCTTGGTTGGAAAGAAGACCTGCTGCCACAGCCTTTAAAGTTACGTTTTTGACTGCATAAAAATGAAAGCATACTCGTTAAATTAAAATCAGATGTGCAAGTGAGTGTATCAGATATTTACCTGTAGATAGATAAATAGAAAATCATAATTCTGAAAGTTACTATTATAATAAAGTGCAACAGCCGCAGAGGTGGTATATCCGCTGCTTCCTTCCCTCCGGTTGATATATGCAGAGTCTGCTTGGTTCGGAGTGAAATTCTGAATGCTTTATTAGCATTAAAAACAAAAATAGCATTCCTCCACTGGATTTCCGCTTGACTGGGACCATGCCTCTTGTTTGTTCTGGTCTGGATCTGTATAATCTAACATATATTTTTGTATCGCGCACAATTATAACAACAGTAGCAATAGAAACCACCCGATTGACCCAGATTAATCCTGCTAAATTTGGGCTCGACACAAGCAGTTTTCAATGAATGGGACCAAAGTGAATGACCTCCTCCAACCCCTAACCCATGAGCAAAACATCTCTTACCATTTATACTCTCTGAAAAATGGACCAAATCCACACATTCTGCCCGTGTGTGCATGTGTAGCTGCATGATTTCCTTGTCGTTCATGTTGTTTTACGTACACAGACGCATGATGTGTGCGAGCCCCAAGCCCCACCCCTTACAGAAGAAATCGCTGACGAACCAATCATCGAGAAAATCGTCGAGTCCGCCGAGTCTTGTGAACTGACGGAGGAGCCGGACGCAACCACCGAAGCAGACGCCAAAGACCAGATCTCTGAAATCGATGCTGAGATTGCGGAAAGCTCTGAAGAAATCGTAGAATGTGTTGAGGCTCAGGTCGTCGAGGCAACGGCGGCGGCTATCAGCGAAGAGGTTGAGGAAGCTATCGCTGAAGTTCCATCTATGACGGAAGAAATCCAGGAGTTAGAGGAGCCAGAAGAGTTAGCCGAATCTCTCGAAGTAGCCGAGACAGAACTGGAACTAGCTGAGAACATTTCTGAATCGACAGAGGCTGAATCAGTAGAGGCTGAGACAGAAATAGTGGCGACAGAGCCTGAAATAGTCGAGACGGTGCCAACGGCAGAAGTTCTCAGCGAAGAACCCGTTGCCGTAGTTGAAGCAGTTGTCAACGTAGAAGTCGTTGAAGAGGTTCCTGCTCAGACTGAAGATTGCAAGACGCCAGAAGATTCAGCTGTGGTCGCCGAATCTGTCGAGCTTGACGTTGTTGAACCAGAACCAGCCGAAGAGAAGGAGGAAGAGGAAAGCTTTTCATCCGAAGAAGAAGAAGAAGAAGAGATGGAAGTCTTGTCTGCAGAATCAGACCAGATCACACAGGTGCCTCTACCACACCAAAACTGGGCTTCAGATTTCTCTTTTTTATTCGCCCTTTTTTCTCCCTTCATTCTTTCTCATCTGTCTTCATGTTGTGTTTGTCTGTTTCGTCAAAATGGCCCAGATTTGTTTATGGAAATCATGAGTTATTTCAATTCAATGTATTTATGTACAGCCTGAAATCACAACAGCGGCCATCTTGGAGGACTTTCCAAACGTATCAATTCCTCAACAGTTCAAATACAAGAAATGCAATTATATTTCTGGACAGCGATGACCACTGTCCAGAAATGTCCTTTGACGTTCTGCTTTGACAAGGAACCGCTCAAATAAAAAAGGGTTTAAGTAAGTCTGTTGATGGTGGTCCAGTTAGAGCAGCAGACTGGTGGACAAATTGTAGACTTTGGTTGGACAAGAGCTCTATGCACGGACACAGTATATTACATTTATATTTATGGTATTTATGGTTTTAGTCTTTTTATTGTTTTATACTTGGTGGAGCTAAGGATAAGTTTCTTGTGCATATATTATACTGGTTTGTGCAGCACTTTGGAAACTTGATTGTTGTTTAAATGTGCCATAAAAATCTGATCGGGCTCCAAATGTGTTTTCAAATTCATTAAATTCATCTTGTGTATTTGTGAATGACTCTGTAACCGGATCGGACCAGGATTGGGCCTGAAATAGGGATTCCTTGCGCCCCTAGTGGCCAACCGTGGAACACACACTCTACTTAGCATATTCTGGGCCGATGGGATTACGTTTATGAGAAATTTCCAACTCCTACCATCAGATGGCAGTGTTTTCTCGTCTCTCATGGCATTTATCAAGAGTTTTATGTTTTCTTCAATCACTAAAACAGAGAAAGTCAAAGTTAAAAAGTTGATAACGGTGATAATCTATTGACCAATCAAATCTTGGCCATTTGTGTCTCTGTCCTCATCTGTTTCCTGTTGTGCAGTATTTGGAATCTTTTGAATGATGAAAATGTAGTTAAAGCTCGGGTACGTAACTTTTTCTGTAGTATAAATATTTGTCCCAACAGAAAGAGATAAAAGAGAGAGACCAGAGAGAGACCAGAGAGAGAGACTAGAGAGAGACCAGAAAGAGAGAGACCAGAGAGAGAGACCCGAAAGAGACCGAAGAGAGACCAGAGTGAGAGACCAGACAGATCAGAGACCAGAGAGAGAGAGAGAGACCAGGGAAAGACCATAGAAAGACCAGAGAGAGACCAGAGAGAGAGAGAGACCAGAGAGAGAGACCAGAGAGAGAGACCAGAGAGAGAGACCAGAGAGAGAGACCAGAAAGAGACCGAAGAGAGACCAGAGTGAGAGACCAGACAGATCAGAGACCAGAGAGAGAGAGAGACCAGGGAAAGACCATAGAGAGACCAGAGAGAGAACAAAGAGAGAAAAAAGAGAGAGACCAGAGAAAGACCATAGAGAGAGAGACCAGGGAGAGATACTAGATCCCCTTTTTCTGTCTGAAAACGCTGATTGAAAGATGTGACATAAATACATGTGAAAACTGGGATGGATTGAAATGACAAAGTTACAGTTTTTCTGGTTTGAAAGTTACGAACCTCAGCTTTAATTACCAGTAATACATTTATAGTCATAACCAGAGTCTGATGTTCTGTTGTTTCTCTTCAGGACGCTCCTGTCCCTAACGGTGAAGTCCCAGAGGTGAGTGTGCTGCAGTGTAGAGTATTTGTGCGTTCAGTTGTGGTTGTGTTGTATTGATTTGACTTGTGTTTCTCCAGGAGCCTGAAGTTGTGAAACAGGTCCCTCTGGTGGAAGAGGTGAGAACTGCACCCTCAACGTTTCATTCTGGGTTCAAAATAGTTTCTTTTTTGAGTTTCTAGGCTAAAAACACAAACTGGGACACAAACCAGGGCAGATATTCTGAGACTGTGATGTCACATTCAGAGCTAGACCTGTTTTAGTCTCTCTCTTCTCTCTCTCTCTCTGTCTTTATCACTGTCTCTCACTGTCTCTGTCCCAGGTCTCTGTGGACTCTGTGGACGTCATGGAGGACGACTTCGTAGTGACAGACACCAAGATCATGGAAACACAAACCATTGAAAAGATCCCTGTTCTGGAAAAGGTATGAATTTGACTCATTTTCTCTGAGCAGCACAGAGAGAGAGACCAGAGAGAGAGACCAGAGAGAGAGACCAGAGAGAGAGACCAGAGAGAGACCAGAGAGAGACCTGAGAGAGAGACCAGAGAGAGACCAGAGAGAGAGACCAGAGAGAGACCAGAGAGAGAGACCAGAGAGAGAGACCAGAGAGAGAGACCAGAGAGAGAGACCAGAGAGAGAGACCAGAGAGAGAGACCAGAGAGAGACCAGAGAGAGACCAAAAGAAGACCAGAGAGAGACCAGAGAGAGAGACCAGAGAGAGAGATCAGAGAGAGGGACTAGAGAGAGAGACGGACTAGAGAGAGAGACCAGAGAGAGAGACCAGAGGGAGATCAGAGAGAGGGACTAGAGAGAGAGACCAGAGAGAGAGACCAGAGAGACATCAGAGAGAGGGACTAGAGAGAGGGACTAGAGAGAGAGACCAGAGAGAGACCAGAAAGAGCAACCAGAGAGCAAGCAGCTACATTTCAGTAGAGTAGAGTAGGACTGGTGGAAACAGGGCTATAGTTCAGTATAATCGGGACTGTGCTCTCTCGTCCAGGACCTCGCTGAGGACGCCCTCGACAAGTGTCCGATGGGAGAAGCCGCGCTAGCTAACGCCACCGCTGTGAGTCTCACTGGACTAATGCTACTATGGTCTCTCTCTCTCTCTCTTTGGTTTTTCTCCGTGGTCTCTCTTTCTCTCTGGTCTCTCTCTTTGGTTTCTTTCCCTGGTCTCTCTCAGCTCTCTGGTCTTTCTCTTTCTGGTCTCTCTCCCTCTTTTTGCTCCCTCTCTGCTCTCTCACTTTGGTTTCTCTCACTGGTCTCTCTTTCTATCTGGCTTCTCTCTCTATCTGGTCTCTCTCTCTCTTCTCCCTCTCTGGTCTCTCTCTCTGGTCTCTCTCTCTCTTCTCCCTCTCTGGTCTCTCTCTCTCTGCTCCCTCTCTGGTCTCCCTCTCTGGTCTCTCTCTCTGGTCTCTCTCTCTCTCTGCTCCCTCTCTGGTCTCTCTCTCTGGTCTCTCTCTCTCTGCTCCCTCTCTGGTCTCTCTCTCTCTGCTCCCTCTCTGCTCTCTCTCTGTCTTTCTCTCTTTCTCGTTATTTAAGTGGATTTCTTGATGAAAAGCTAAATTTCAGTGTTGTTTGCAGTTGATCAAACAGACTCCGGAAGCGACTGTGGAGATGTAGAAACCCACGTTTCACTTTTTTGTGAGTTTTAAATCTTTCACTAAAGTTTTTCTGCTGAGTTTGGACAAATATGGAATTAAAAATATCTTTCCTTTTTGGACAAACGTGTTAGTGAGAGAACTACAGAGGTAGACAACCTGGACTCTCTCTAGTCTCTCTCTAGTCTGTCTCTGGTCTCTCTCTTTCTCTCTGGTCCCTCTTGAATCTCTCCCTCTCAAGTCTCTCTCTGGTCTCTCTCTCTTCCTCTCTAGTGTCTCTCTCTCTCTGGTCTCTCTTTTTCTCTCTCTCTTCCCCCCTCTGGTCTCTCTCATCTCTCTCTGGTCTCTCTTTCTTTCTCTATAGTCTCTCTCTCTCTGGTCTCTCTTTCTCTCTAGTCTCTCTCTCTATGGTCTCTCTTTCTCTCTAGTCTCTCTCTCTCTGGTCTCTCTTTCTTTCCCTCTTGTCTCTTACTGATCTCTCTGGTCTCTCTCTCTAAATCCCTAAATCACAACAGCAGTTATCTCAGGGGACTTGTCGATTCGCCAGCAGCAGATCAGAGAATCAAACCGTTCAATCACAGGAAATGCAACGATAACAAACACCACAAATGTGTGCTCTCTCGTTCTGAACCTCTCTCTCTCTCTGTGTTTCAGGTTTCTCTCAGTGACGGAGCCAGATCCCTCTTCAGGACGTTACAGCCCTCTGCTCTTTGAAGTGCCTTTCTTCTTCTCAGCGTCTCACGTAAAAATATGGAACAAACTCACCTGTCAATCAAACTCAGCTCTTCGTGAAACATCTGCAAAGCTCCGACATCAGAGTTTATCTTAAAGGGCACGTACTATGCTTTTATTGTGAGTTTTGTTAAAGCTGCTAAGCCACATTCTCTCCTCAAAATCAAAGGGCCACTCTAGTCTTGGGACTCTTTCTCTCCCTTGTCTTTCTCTCTCATTGCTCTCTCTCTTGTCTTTCTCTTTCCGCTCTCTCTCTCCTCTTTTTCTCTTTTGTCTCTCTCTCTCCTGTCTCTCTATAACGTCTCTCTGTCATCTGTCTCTCTTCTCAAATTCCCTTTTGTCTCTCTCTCCTCTCTGGTCTTTCTCCCTCTCTGGTCTCTCTCTCTCCGTGAGCCCTGTGATTCATGTATTAAAAAAGAACCCAAAAAGCATAGTAGGTGCCCTTTAAGTCTCCCTTCGGTCAGAGCAAAGACACATCGGTTTTCTCTGTTTTTAATCCAGTTTTTATTTCTTAATTTTTTTGTTTTGAATCATTTGTATAAAGCTGGAGCTCCTCATGTTCCGGACTCCGGGCTCCGCTGCCGGAAAAGTCTTGTTTTTAAAAAAAAGTTTTTGAATCTTACTTTTCTAACGAGGCCTGTGCGGGGCCAGGACCAGGAGGTTTTTTTTCATGTTAATTTCTCTAAAACGGTTTTTAATAAAGAATCACAAAGAAACACGTCTCTTTTGTCTCAATCGTTCTCTGAAGCTCAAGGACTTTAAATTATTGTTTTTTTGTCAAATTAATCGGATTCTGATTTATGGGATTTTAACATTCACACATTTATTTATCTATAACTACAAACAGAAGCAAGTCAGAGTCATGAAGACCAGGAGTGTTCTTAAGTATCAGTCATTCCCAAACTAAAAGTCTCATCCTTCAGACAATAAAAAAAACATTCAGATCAAATATTTTTTAATTCTTTTGTTTTTGCATTGGAATTTACATTCATATTAGTACAATGTAACGTGACAGACACTGGCCCCTCCCCCTGGAGACGCAGGCCCCTCCCCCTGGAGACACTGGCCCCTCCCCCTGGAACTCTGTACAAATGATGAGATTATATTAAAACACATTCTTTTCAATAATCAAAGCTTTGGAATGAAACGTCTCCTCAGCCACAAATATATTATCTGCAATTATCAAGATCCACACGACCAGGAACCCAGACCAGGAGGACCCCGAGACCAAGAGGACCCCTAGACCAAGGGGACCCCGAGACCAAGAGGACCCCGAGACCAGGAGGACCCCTAGACCAAGAGGACCCGTAGACCAAGAGGACCCCGAGACCAGGAGGACCCCGAGACCAAGAGCACCCCTAGACCAAGAGGACCCCGAGACCAGGAGGACCCCGAGACCAGGAGGACCCCGAGACCAAAGGACCTCGGCCCAAAAACATAATAAATAAAAAGAAATCGATTGGTCCATGAGGTAAAATATGATAAAAAATAAAGAATATTGGTGGAAACACAAAAAAGTGTGTGTGTGTATGTATAGAGGTGTGTGTCTGTGTGTGTGTATACATGTGTGTGTATTTGGGGAGAAGGCATATAGAAAGTGCACAGAGGACACACACACAGTCTCTTTCTTCCAGACGCAGAAACACTAAATAAACTCTTTACAAACACTTGGATTTCTTTGTAAATTCACCATAAAACATGATTCGATTCAGAACCAAAAACACACACAAGTCCCTCTATCGCTCTAGTCTCAAAAATCGAGAGCTTTGACGGCAGACGCTGCTCCCTCACCTCTCTTCGTTCACACAAAAATTAAACCACATTTTATGGCTAATATCTCAAAGCGATCCCACATTCTTCTCTTCACACACACTTGATTCTCAGTGGCTCCCGTTTACACTGGTTCAAGAACGCGACACAGACACGGAAAGATCCAGAAGTATTCAAAAACAATAATAATAATAATAATAAAAGCTAGATTTGAACAGTCCTTCATTGGATCTCGTCTCCTCTGCCCAGAACTTGGCGACGCCGGTTTTCTGCTACACAAGAAGAGCACTTTAATGAGGCCTGGTCGAAAAATACCCTGGTTAGAGAAGTGTGTGTGTGTGTGTGTGTAGATGTGTGTGTGTGTGTGTGTGTGTAGATGTGTGTGTGTGTGTGAGTGTGTAGGTGTGTGTGTGTGACAGCATGCAGTTCACAGGAAGGACGACATTTCCAACACGATAGAAAGAGCACTTCAAAAAACTGTTTTTTTGGACCGCCGCTTGGTCACAGGCTGAGGGAGAGAGAGACCAGAGAGAGAGAGACCAGAGAGAGAGAGCGGAGGGAGAGAGAGAGACCAGAGAGAGAGAGAGACCAGAGAGAGAGAGCGGAGGGAGAGAGAGAGACCAGAGGGAGAGAGAGAGACCAGAGAGAGAGAGAGACCAGAGAGAGAGAGCGGAGGGAGAGAGAGACCAGAGGGAGAGAGACCAGAGAGAGAGAGCGGAGGGAGAGAGAGAGACCAGAGATATACCAGAGAGAGAAAGACAAAATAAAACCAGAGACAGGGAGATAGAGACCAGAGAGAGAGACCAGAGGAGGTGGAAGGAGAGGAGAGAGAGAGAGAGAGAGAGGGGAGAAAGAGAGGAGACCAGAGAGGAGGGGGAGAGAGACCAGAGACCAGAGATATACCAGAGAGAGAGAGTCAGAATAAAACCAGAGACAGAGAGATAGAGACCAGAGAAAGAGAGCAGGCTGTAGTGTTGGCTGTGAGAGAGGAGCAGAAGTGTCCGGCAAAGTCTCAGCAGCGATCCTCCTCCTCGAGCGTCTCCTCCCGGTCTCTTTCTCCGCGGATTTTTCCAAAGATGGTTGAGTTCTGTGTGATTCCTGCTCATGATGCAGCACGACCGAGTCCGAGTCTCAGCACGAACAAGGTTTTCAGGTCAGGAAGCTTCAGTCTGCATTTGGTTCTTCTACACCAGACCATCTTAGACCTCAGTCCTGGGTCTACAGTCTCAGTCCTGGGTCTACAGCCTCAGTCCTGGGTCTACAGTCTCAGTCCTGGGTCTACAGTCTCAGTCCTGGGTCTACAGCCTCAGTCCTGGGTCTACAGCCTCAGTCCTGGGTCTACAGTCTCAGTCCTGGGTCTACAGCCTCAGTCCTGGGTCTACAGCCTCAGTCCTGGGTCTACAGCCTCAGTCCTGGGTCTACAGCCTCAGTCCTGGGTCTACAGCCTCAGTCCTGGGTCTACAGCCTCAGTCCTGGGTCTACAGCCTCAGTCCTGGGTCTACAGCCTCAGTCCTGGGTCTACAGCCTCAGTCCTGGGTCTACAGCCTCAGTCCTGGGTCTACAGCCTCAGTCCTGGGTCTACAGCCTCAGTCCTGGGTCTACAGCCTCAGTCCTGGGTCTACAGCCTCTGTCCTGGGTCCCTCCCTCTTGTTTTGGGTCATTTTTCAGATCCAGGACACTCCACATTCAACATTTCTGCACCAATGGCTTTATGTTTGTTATCGTTGCATTTCTTGTGTTTAACATTTTGATTCTCTAATCTGTTGTTGGCGAGTCAGCGGTTTTGTAAAGATAAAATAAAACATTGAATTGGGTTGAATTATAAAGAACTGATAGATGTGAAAACCTTCACATGTTTCAACACTATACTTAATACTTGCTAACTGCTAACTGCTAACAACTAACAACTAATAGTTAACTGCCAACTTAGTGTCTGGTCTAGAAGAACCAAAGACGAGGCATATCCAACCCTTAAAGCAGTTTCAGTCTCTGCTCAGTCGTTCTGATTGTCCAGGAGTTAGCGCCGCCAACTCGCCGCCGACTCCAGGCGTTAGCGGCGCCAACTCTGCAAGTTCATGTCGAGAATCATCTCCAGGTTCAGGCAGAGCTTTTCCCTTTTGTAGAAACAGCAGAAAAACCCGGAGAGGGGAATGTAGAGACACAGCCTCCCAGAGGCTCAGCCCTCAGGCCCAATGTGGGCTCAGTCTAAACTCTGTGGGGATCAGGCCCAGACCAGTCCCAGACCAGTCCCATCTGGTCTTCAAAACAGGGCTTTGGATCCTTGGTTTTCAAACTCTGACCAGGCGTCGTTCAGCTCCATGAAGATCATCTTAGCGTAGTGTTCGTACGGCTGCCCAGTCGCCTGCGGAAAGAGACACGTGTTACTGTGAGGAGCACAGGGACTGGCCTCCTGCTGCGGATCATCAGGTGTTGTTCTATACAGTTTTTTTTTTTTTACTGTGCCGTGAAGCAGCCTCAGTCCTGGGTCTACAGCAGGGGTCACCAACGCAGGCACCAGGTCGCCCGTAAGGACCGGATGAGTCGCCCGCTGGCCTGGTCTAAAAATAGCTCAAATAGCAGCACTAAAGCCTAGTGTAGTCGCGCGGAGCTTACGGTGGTGAAGTGACGTCACTTGCGCAACGCGTGGATCACCGCAGGGCCCTTACGTAGCGCACCCTCGATAATACAGACAAGCTCCGCCGTGATTGGTCCGTGTGTTAGAAAAGCTCCGCTGTGATTGGTCCGTGTGTGTGTGTTTTGGGCGGAAGCAAGGAGCGGCTGCAGGAGCACGGACGAGGCACTTTAGAGCAGACTGCATCGAAGGAACCGAAGGAAAAGCAGAGCCTGATATACGCTGAGACTGTAGACTAGAGTTCTGTGTCATATCTAACTTATATCTAACTTATATCTAACTTATATCTAACTTATATCTAACTTATATCTAACTTATATCTAACTTATATCTAACTTATATCTAACTTATATCTAACTTATAAACTCTGCACTTATATCTAACTTATAAACTGTTCCTGTTTGAATCGTAGCTGCGTCTGTTCCGTTCCTCCTGCTCTTGTAAATCGTTCATGTTTGTCTCAGATGTTTACCACTTATTGTTTTGCTGTTTGTGCTGAAAACACTTTAATAATAACTATAATAAAGAACTGTGTCTTCGTTCACGACATCACAGTTAAATGAGTTGAAATTATGAGTGTAGAACGGTCACATAAACCTACAGTAGAAACACATGTAATGATCTCAAACGGCTTCACTTTGTTTTTGTTCTGAAGAGGAGGAAGTAGCAGCGTAAAAGGGACCGCTTTGGTTTCCCAGGCAACTCCGGTGAGATCATCAGTGTGACAGGATTTATTTAAACATGTGAGAGTTGACTTTACTATTTTACATGAGTTATTATTTGTACAATTAGGGCTGTCAAACAATTCAATGTTTTAGTTGAAATGATGAGTTAACTCACAATGAATCACATTTTCAACATTCTATTTCAAATCCACTCCAACTGAAGTTAAATGAGATTCTCAAATGTAATGACACAGTTCTATTCTGAGTGATATTATGGATAAATGGGCGGGTCATTCGGACATGCGTTAATGAAAAATGTAATTAACGTGAGTTAACGCAATCATTTTGACAGCCCTAATAATAATATATAGTTAAAGGTAAATTGAGCAAATGGACTATTTCTGGCAATTTATTTAAGTGTGTAACAAACTGGTCGCCCTTCGCATTAATCAGTACCAAAGAAGTAGCTCTTGGTTTCAAAAAGGTTGGTGACCCCTGGGTCTACAGCCTCAGTCCTGGATCTACAGCCTCAGTCCTGGGTCTACAGCCTCAGTCCTGGGTCTACAGCCTCAGTCCTGGGTCTACAGCCTCAGTCCTGGGTCTACAGCCTCAGTCCTGGGTCTACAGCCTCAGTCCTGGGTCTACAGCATCAGTCCTGGGTCTACAGCCTCAGTCCTGGGTCTACAGCCTCAGTCCTGGGTCTACAGCATCAGTCCTGGGTCTACAGCATCAGTCCTGGGTCTACAGCATCAGTCCTGGGTCTACAGCCTCAGTCCTGGGTCTACAGCCTCAGTCCTGGGTCTACAGCCTCAGTCCTGGGTCTACAGCCTCAGTCCTGGGTCTACAGCCTCAGTCCTGGGTCTACAGCCTCAGTCCTGGGTCTACAGCCTCAGTCCTGGGTCTACAGCCTCAGTCCTGGGTCTACAGCCTCAGTCCTGGGTCTATAGCTGCTGGTACCTTGTCGGGATGCACCACCAGAGCAGCTCTCCTGTAGAGCTTCTTGACCTGGTCGGGAGTCACCAGGTCGGCCATCCCCACGACCTTCCAGCGAGTCTCTCCCTCCCACAGCACCGTGTGCAGCGTGGACAGAAGAGCACGGATGTTCCTCTCCTTCCCCTCGATCCAGTCCAGGATCTGAGACCAGAGAGCAGGGATGTTAAAGACCAGAGACCAGGGACATGTCAGAGACCAGAGAGCAGGGACGTCAGAGACCAGAGACCAGAGATGTTGAAGACCAGAGCCCAGGGACGTTACAGCCCAGAGACCAGAGACCAGGGACGTTACAGAAAAGAGACCAGAATCAGAGACCGGAGTCACTAGTTTTAAGTGATTTCTTTTTTATATTTCAGTGCTGAACCTGGTGAATATATAATCACATGTTGAAAAAACCGCTGTTGGTGAGCAATGTGTTGCTATGGTAACAGTATTGCTGGTACATGCCGAGATTTCTCTGAACCAGTCCAGGACCAGCACCTTGGTTTTCTTGGATTTCTTGACTTCAGAGCTGCTACTCTTGTGTATCTGACAGAGTGTTAGCCTTAATGCTGAAGAAGCTCAGAATCAGAATCATTTTTATTGCCACGTAAGTAACAGGAAGTCACAGACTTGGAAATTGCTTTGGCTCAGTGCAACAGTCAGAAAGAGATAATAAAAATAAAGAATAAAAAACACTTTAAAATTTAAAATAGGGTTACAGTTAGGGGTGGGAACCTAAGGGTACCTCACGATATGATACGATACAAAGCTCACTATAACGATAATATCACGATAACGATATTACGATAACGATTTGATCACGATATGACGATTACTGATATATTGGTCAGAAATATACAATATGCCAATTTATGGCATAAATAAAAGAAAACATACTCTTTATTTCATGATAAATATAATGGAGATGCGTAATGTAGCCATATATTAAGTATTGATACCAATTCAAAAAAAAAATAAAGTAAAAAATAAATAAAAATAAAAAGTTTTTGGTTTTTGTTTTTTCAAAACCGATATTGATACTTGGCAAATGCATATCAATAATCGAATCGCGAGAGAAAGTATCGCAATATATCAAAAAATCGATATATCGTCACACCCCTAGTTACAGTTACTATTTACAATATATAAGTGCACATGGTGCACATAATGTAAGGTGACAGCAGTACAGTGAAGTGAAGTGAAGCTGATTTGAACATAAGCTAGCAGGGAGCAAAACTAGCTAGCGGGTTAGCCTTGTCCGTCTCTATACAGTCTCTGGTACCTGACGATGGTAGAATAAACCTCTCTTCTTTCCAAACAGCAGTGGTTCCAAACTCACCTGTAGTTTGAGTGGGTCGATCTCTTTCGTCATCTCCTGCCTCCGCATCTCGGCGATGGTCCTGGGGCCTTTTTTATCAAGTTTAGAAGCAAAACCCTGAGTGGAAAGCAAGTCCTCAAAGTCATCCTCCTTCACTTTGGGCTTGGAACCTGCAACAACATGTAACTAGTATGAATACAGCAAGTTCTGAAAGTTTTAACCATGTGGCAACAATGGTGTCTCTCTGAATGCTGTTTGCAACTGCTCCGGCTGCATCCAAATTCAACACTGCCTCCTCGGCCTTCTGCCTCCTCGGCCTTCTGCCTCCTCAGCCTTCCCAAACCAACCTGCCCTACACAGGCCTCTCCTACTTCTCCCCTCCCTCCCTTCTATCACCTCTCTCTCTTCTCCCTCCTCCTTCTTCTTTCCTCCCCATCTCCCCTCCCCTCTATCTCCTCCCTCCTCACCCTCCTCTTCTCTCTACCCCCGCCCCTCATCTCCTCTCCCTGCCCTTTAATCTCCCTCTGCTCCATCCCCTCCCTCTCTTTCCCCCCTTTTTCCCCTCTCCTCCCTCCCTCCCTCCTCTCCCCACTCTCTCTTCTCCTTCCTCCCTCTCCATCACTCCCCTTTTGCTCATCCTGCCCCCTTTACTTCCTATATACATGTTCTACTTTTCTTCTGAATTTCACATTCTGGAGTCAAAAATCCGAAAGTGTGTCGAATACTTCTGTGTCTCACCAAAGTTGTGTCCGCGCAGCCCCCGGTCCTCTCTGCCTCCGATCACACTGGAGAAGTTGAGGTTGTAGTTGGGTTTGGAGGCCTGAGGTGCTGGCGGGGGCTTGGGGACAGACCCAGACCCAGAACCAGACCCAGACCCAGACCCGGCTGAAGGCATCCAGGCTTTGCTCTGAGCTCTGCCCGAGTTCCAGGCCTGGTTCTGGGCTTTAGATGAAGAAGGTGCAGATTTGGGGTTGAAAGAGGATCCAGAGAAACTAGTGCTGCTGCTGGAGGAACCTGGAAGAAGGACATGGATCAGTGGATTAGGAAGGAGAGGTGTGAGAGAGGCGAGAGAGGCGAGAGAGAGGTGTGAGAGAGAGGCGAGAGAGAGGCAAGAGAGAGGCCAGAGAGAGATGCAAGAGAGAGATGCAAGAGAGAAAGGCAAGAGAGAGAGGCAAGAGAGAGAGAGGCAAGAGAGAGAGAGGCAAGAGAGAGAGGCAAGAGAGAAGAGGCAAGAGAGAAGAGGCAAGAGAGAGGCAAGAGGCAAGAGAGAGAGGCCAGAGAGAAGAGGCCAGAGAGAGGTGAGAAAGAAGAGTTTTGAGAGGAATCAGAGGGAGGGGTGTGTGAGAGGTGAGTGAGAGAGGGAGAGGTAAGAGGGAGCCGAGAGAGGCGAGAAAGAAGAGTTTTGAGAGGGCTCAGGAGAGAGAGAGAGAGAGAGAGTACAAAAGGTTCTCTCACCAGGAATGTTGGAGGCCAAGTTTCCCAGATCAGCAAAAGGATCAAATGTCTGAGACTTGGCCTTGGACATGGATGTGGCCCCAGGAGCTGTGGGAGAAACCAGCAGGACACGGAGTGAGGAGCAGAGGATGTAGAAAAGCATGGACCATGACCAAGATCAACAACTATTGTAGAAAAACTAATGGCGTGTGTAAAATATCCCCCTCCGGTCTCTCCCACTCCGGTCTCTCCCACTCCGGTCTCTCCCACTCCGGTCTCTCCCACTCCGGTCTCTCCCACTCCGGTCTCTCCCACTCCGGTCTCTCCCACTCCGGTCTCTCCCACTCCGGTCTCTCCCACTCCGGTCTCTCCCACTCCGGTCTCTCCCACTCCGGTCTCTCCCACTCCGGTCTCTCCCACTCCGGTCTCTCCCACTCCGGTCTCTCCCACTCCGGTCTCTCCCTCTCCGGTCTCTCCCTCTCCGGTCTCTCCCTCTCCGGTCTCTCCCTCTCCGGTCTCTCCCTCTCCGGTCTCTCCCTCTCCGTAGAAAACCATTGACCATGACCACAATCAAGAACTGAGCAGAGGAATTCACAAAATTCCTCTCCCCTCCTCTCCTCTCCCCTCCTCTCCTCTCCTCTCCTCTCCTCCCCTCCTCCCCCACTCCCCAGTACCTGTGTTGGTGTAGCCGGGTTTGCTGGTGGAGCTGACACTGGACCCGGTGGTGGCCCAGCTCTCCCAGCCTCCCAGCAGGTCGGGCTGACTGGCGGACGACGTCATCTTCGGGCCGTCGTTCACAAGTTTGTCTTTTTGAGGCAGAAAAATGACAGTGTTTGTAACGAACGGAAACTTCTACTGATCATGTTAGAAGCATTACAGGAACATGGAAAAGTAACTCTCTCCGTCACCCCTCTCTCCCCCACCTCTTTCTCACTCTTCCATCCACCTCTCTTCCTCTCTCTCTGCCTCACCCACCTTTCTCTCCCTCTCCCTCCCTCTCACTTTCTCTCTCCCCTCTCACTCTCTCATCCTCTCACTCTCTCACCCTCTCTCTTACCCACCTCTCTCTCTCTCTCTCTCTCTCTCTCACCCACCTCTCTCTCTCTCTCTCTCTAATATTCCCAAAGAAATAGCAAAACCGCTGTATTCACTCACTGAGGTTGAAGAGGCTGGAGTTAGAAGCTGGAGCAGAACTCTCAGGACCCAGAAAGTTTTCAAACAGGTCCGGACCAGAATCCTGTTGAGAGGAGACCGAGCCGGAGCCAGCGACACCAAATGGATCGAACAGGTCGTCTACAGCTGAGGAAGCATCAAGGGAGAAACCCTGGTTAGGGTTAGGTTTAGGTCCCCCCTCTCTGGTCTCTCCCTCTCTGGTCTCTCCCTCTCTGGTCTCTCCCTCTCTGGTCTCTCCCTCTCTGGTCTCTCCCTCTCTGGTCTCTCCCTCTCTGGTCTCTCCCTCTCTGGTCTCTCCCTCTCTGGTCTCTCCCTCTCTGGTCTCTCCCTCTCTGGTCTCTCTCTCTCTGGTCTCTCTCTCTCTGGTCTCTCTCTCTCTGGTCTCTCTCTCTCTGGTCTCTCTCTCTCTGGTCTCTCTCTCTCTGGTCTCTCTCTCTGGATAAATACAGACTGATCTAGATCTGAGTGGGGAGAATGTCGCTGCCCTAAACTGAATTAAAAAGAAAGAATGTTGAAGTTACGTTTGGGGTCTGGGGAGGGTCCACTGAAGAACAAGTCTTCCTGCACCGCTGCCGAGTGTCCAGCAGGGGGAGCAAAGATGTCGTTGAGCAGGTCGCTGTTGCTGGAGGCGGACTTGAGGCCGGTTTGTATTTCTGCTGCTCGAGAGTCCGAGTTTAAGCCCAGGAGGTCGGCCGTGTCTGCGGCCGGCTCCGGAGCAGAGGGAGGAGGGGTCTGGAGGCAAACGACATGGGAAATGTGGTTTTAAAGTGATCAGAATATGGGTGTGTATCAGAAGGTGAAGCAGGATTAGCAGACACAGAGAGAAAGAGACAGAGTGAGAGAGAACAGAGACAGAGAGAGAGAGATGCAGCAGAGCGAGAGAGAGAGACGGAGCAGAGCAAAAGAGAGACTGAGGAGAGAGAGAGACGGAGCAGAGCGAGAGAGAGAGATAGACCGAGCAGAGCGAGAGAGAGAGAGACCGAGCAGAGCGAGAGAGAGATAGACCGAGCAGAGCGAGAGCGAGATAGACCGAGCAGAGCAAGAGAGAGAGAGAGATAGACCGAGCAGAGCGAGAGAGAGAGAGAGAGATAGACCGAGCAGAGCGAGAGAGAGATAGACCGAGTAGAGCAAGAGAGAGAGAGATAGACCGAGCAGAGCGAGAGAGAGAGAGAGATAGACCGAGCAGAGCGAGAGAGAGAGAGAGATAGACCGAGCAGAGCGAGAGAGAGAGAGAGATAGACCGAGCAGAGCGAGAGAGAGATAGACCGAGCAGAGCGAGAGAGAGATAGACCGAGCAGAGAGAGAGAGAGATAGACCGAGCAGAGCGAGAGAGAGACTGAGCAGAGCGAGAGAGATAGACCAAGCAGAGCGAGAGAGAGAGATAGAACGAGCAGAGCGAGAGAGAGAGAGAGATAGAACGAGCAGAGCGAGAGAGAGAGAGAGATAGAACGAGCAGAGCGAGAGAGAGAGAGAGAGAGACCGAGCAGAGCGAGAGAGAGATAGACTGAGCAGAGCGAGAGAGAGAGACCGAGCAGAGCGAGAGAGAGATAGACCGAGCAGAGCGAGAGAGAGATAGACCGAGCAGAGCGAGAGAGAGAGACTGAGCAGAGCGAGAGAGAGAGACTGAGCAGAGCGAGAGAGAGAGACTGAGCAGAGCGAGAGAGATAGACTGAGCAGAGCGAGAGAGAGATAGACTGAGCAGAGCGAGAGAGAGATAGACTGAGCAGAGCGAGAGAGAGATAGACTGAGCAGAGCGAGAGAGAGAGACTGAGCAGAGCGAGAGAGAGACTGAGAGCGAGCGAGAGAGATAGACTGAGCAGAGCGAGAGAGAGAGAGATAGACTGAGCAGAGCAAGAGAGAGATAGACTGAGCAGAGCGAGAGAGAGAGACTGAGCAGAGCGAGAGAGAGAGACTGAGCAGAGCGAGAGAGAGAGACTGAACAGAGCGAGAGAGAGAGACTGAGCAGAGCGAGAGAGATAGACTGAGCAGAGCGAGAGAGAGATAGACTGAGCAGAGCGAGAGAGAGATGGACTGAGCAGAGCGAGAGAGAGATAGACTGAGCAGAGCGAGAGAGAGATAGACTGAGCAGAGCGAGAGAGAGACTGAGAGCGAGCGAGAGAGAGAGACGGAGCAGAGCGAGAGAGAGAGACGGAGCAGAGCGAGAGAGAGATAGATTGACCGAGCAGAGCGAGACTGAGCAGAGCGAGAGCGAGAGAGAGACTGAGCAGAGCGAGAGAGAGATTGAGTAGAGCGAGAGAGAGACTGAGCAGAGAGATGGACAGCAAAGAGTGGAGAGAGAGAGAGACCTGAGAGACAGAGATAGAATGACAGAGACATAGAGAGAGACAGAGTAGAGAGAGAGAGCGACAGACAGACAGAGAGACATAGACAGCAGAGACATAAAGAGTAGAGACAGACAGAGAGAGAGAGACGTAAGCTGCCGCACCTGGAAGTCTGCATCGAACAGTGGTTCGCTGGTGTCCCGGGACAGAGGCTCCGCGCTGGGGGCAGAGTAGGACACAGACTCTCCGTCCGACTGGTCGCTCAGAGTGTCCTGGTCGTTGAAGGATCCGCTCTGTCCCTCATCCCGAGCTCCAGAAGTGTCTAGAAACATAAATTGGTCAGAAAAAGACTATTCCCTTATTGCCGCTAGCGCTCTTGATGCTCGGCCGGTGTGTGGTCAGAGAGGGTTTGGGCCTGTGTCCGTCTGCAAATGGCAAAGTATCTGAATCCGAGAGGAGTTAGGAGCCAAATTAGCGCTTGCCAAGCCTTTTTATTTCATGTCTTGCTTATAGTTTCATGTTGCATAAGTTTGATTGAAAATTCGTACTACTACTACAGGCTTTTTTAGTGGTAGAGGAAACCGGAGCACCCAGAGGAAACCTAGGCAAACACAGGATGAACCACTCTAAGCCACCATTTAACATCTATGACAGCTATCTCATCTCGACAGACATAATTTCAGGGTCGATAATGAGTATTTTTTGCCCTAACAGAGTCTGGTACTTCTGATGACCTGTGGATCCGTACCTTCCCAGTCCAGCGTCTGGAAGAAGTTGTTGGCGTTGGAGTCGGCGGGAGACTCTGCGTCTGTGGCGTTGGCGCTGTCTGGAGTCTGAGCCGGCTGCGGAGACTCGGACTCGTAGAACACAGAGGACCCGGGCTGACGGGGGAGCTCTGGTTTACCTGAGAGAGAGAGGGGGATGAGAAGGGGGAGAACAAGGAGAGAGGGGTGTGTGAGAGAGGAGAGAGAGGAAGATAAGGGTGAGAGAGAGGAGCGTGAGGGGTGTGTGAGAGAGGAGAGAGAGGAAGATAAGGGTGAGAGAGAGGAGCGTGAGGGGTGTGTGAGAGAGGAGAGAGAGGGAGATGAGAAGGGTGAGAACAAGGAGAGAGAGGGGTGAGAGAGAGGAGAGAGAGGGAGATGAGAAGGGTGAGAACAAGGAGAGAGAGGGGTGAGAGAGAGGAGAGAGAGGGAGATGAGAAGGGTGAGAACAAGGAGAGAGAGGGGTGAGTGAGAGAGGGGAGAGATGAGAGAGAGAGGAGAGAGAAGGGTGTGAGAGTAAGAGAGGAGGGAGGGGTGAGAGAGAGAATGAGGAGAGAGGAAAGAGAGAGGAGATAATGGGGTGTGAAAGTAAGAGAGGTGAGAGAGAATGAGGAGAGAGTGAGAAGAGAGTGAGAGAGTTAGTGAGGAGTAAGAGAGAGAGTGAGGCTGTGAAGAACTAATACACGTTTGTGACATTAACAGGGATGGAGATGGAAACTAGAAGTCTAAAAAAGAATAAACACAGTTTTAACTTACCAGGAGGAGAGAGATAGAGAGGAGAGAGTAAGAGTGAGAGGGGAGAGTAGAGAGGGGAAAGGGGAGAGGGGAGAGCGGCGAGAGAAAGAGAGACAGAGAGAGAAAGAGAGAGAAGGAGAGGAGAGGAGACAGTGGAGAGGAGAGAGAGAGGTGAAAAGGTAGAGAGAAAGGAGTGAGAGAGAGGGGATAGAAGATAGAGAAAGAAGAGAGTGAGAGGAGAGAGTAGGGAGAGAAGAGAGTAGAGAGAGTGGAGAAAGAGGATATAGAGAGGGGAGAAAAGAGAGAGAGAGAGAGAGGAGAGAAAGAGAGGAGAGAGAGGCTGTGACCTTAGCAGGGATGGAGATGGAGAAAACTACAAGTCTGAAAAAGAATAACCACAGCTTTAACTTAAAGGCCACTCACCAAACTTGCTCAGGATCTCCTGCTGCTCGTCGCGGGAGGAGAAGAGGATCTTGGGATTGAGGCCCTTGGTCTGGATGCCCTCCCACGGCGGCGTCTTGGCCGAGGGTCGATCTCTGGGTTCTACTTCTATGTTCAGGTTGATCTGGAACAAGTCTGGGTACTTCTCCTGGATGTCACACGCATCCAGGTCGTACCTACACACACACACACACACACACTTTTGTTTTCTCCTCTGCTACAGCTCCACCCCGATTATTGGATATAAGCACTGGATACAGTTTATAAAATGTGCTATACAAATAAATAGATTCTGAAATACTCACTTTGCAAACTTCACTGTGGTCGCGTTTCTTGGAACAAATCCTGTGTGGAACTGGACCTGGAACATCTTCATGGAAGCCATCTGCACAACACACACACACAACACACAGAGACAGACAACATACAGACACAGAACACACACACACACAGAGCGACACAGACAGACACCACACAGAGAGACAGATACACCGACACACACAGACACACACGCACAGAGCGACACAGACAGACACCACAAACAGAGAGACACACACAGAGAGACGGATACACACACAGACAGAGACACACACAAAGACAGAGACACCGACACACACACACACACAGACACACAAACACAGAGACACACACACAGACACACAGTTTAATACCTTCTCAAACACCACATAAAGCAGAAGTGTCAAACCGATTCCAGAGAAGACTCCAACCATCCCCAAGGTCAGACTGGACCCACAGGAGGAAATGGGTGGAGTCTGCTGTGCTCCTGCTTGGTTGGAATGAAAACCTGCAGCAGCCCACCCCCCCCTCCCTTTTGACACCTCTATCACACACGGAGTAGACTGGATCAGACTGGATCAGACCTTGGCCTGGAGACGCCCTCCCAGAGTGGATCGAGCGTGATAGATGACCACCAGCACGTCGCCCTGGACCGTCACGTTCAGAGGGATCTCTGCTTTGCCGTCCTCCATTTTGAAATCCCTGAACAAAAAGACACGATGAGGACACGTCACTAACTTAACACCAGGACTCCCGGAGCAGTCAATTTGACTGGGGGGGACAGGACTCGGGGGCAACAAAGGAAACAAAAAAAAACGTTCATAAATCTGGTAGAAAACAAACAATTTTGGGATTGGTTTGAATGGGAGCAGTCAAAATGGCGGCTCTGGGAGTTCTCGTAGTTTTAACGGCTGCTTACTGCATGCGGTCGTACTCCTGCGACGTGGTGAGCACTCTCTCGTCGCCCACATACACCTCACAGAAGGGCCGGCAGCCGTTGCGTTGTTTGTTGAACAGAGGTACGGGCGTCATGGCGATGGAGTGGATGGTGATTGGTTTACAGTGAGGCACGATGGGCTCCTCTGCCATCATGTCACACATGTACTCTATGTACCTGCAACACAACCAGACACACAACAGCAGTCACATATGTGCTCTATGTACCTGCAACACAACCAGACACACAACAGCAGTCACACATGTGCTCTATGTACCTGCAACACAACCAGACACACAACAGCAGTCACACATGTGCTCTATGTACCTGCAACACAACCAGACACACAACAGCAGTCACACATGTGCTCTATGTACCTGCAACACAACCAGACACACAACAGCAGTCACACATGTACTCTATGTACCTGCAACACAACCAGACACACAACAGCAGTCACACATGTGCTCTATGTACCTGCAACACAACCAGACACACAACAGCAGTCACACATGTGCTCTATGTACCTGCAACACAACCAGACACACAACAGCAGTCACACATGTGCTCTATGTACCTGCAACACAACCAGACACACAACAGCAGTCACACATGTGCTCCATGTACCTGCAACACAACCAGACACACAACAGCAGTCACATATGTGCTCTATGTACCTGCAACACAACCAGACACACAACAGCAGTCACACATGTGCTCTATGTACCTGCAACACAACCAGACACACAACAGCAGTCACACATGTGCTCTATGTACCTGCAACACAACCAGACACACAACAGCAGTCACACATGTGCTCTATGTACCTGCAACACAACCAGACACACAACAGCAGTCACATATGTGCTCTATGTACCTGCAACACAACCAGACACACAACAGCAGTCACACATGTGCTCTATGTACCTGCAACACAACCAGACACACAACAGCAGTCACATATGTGCTCTATGTACCTGCAACACAACCAGACACACAACAGCAGTCACACATGTGCTCTATGTACCTGCAACACAACCAGACACACAACAGCAGTCACACATGTGCTCTATGTACCTGCAACACAACCAGACACACAACAGCAGTCACATATGTGCTCTATGTACCTGCAACACAACCAGACACACAACAGCAGTCACACATGTGCTCTATGTACCTGCAACACAACCAGACACACAACAGCAGTCACACATGTGCTCTATGTACCTGCAACACAACCAGACACACAACAGCAGTCACACATGTGCTCTATGTACCTGCAACACAACCAGACACACAACAGCAGTCACACATGTGCTCTATGTACCTGCAACACAACCAGACACACAACAGCAGTCACATATGTGCTCTATGTACCTGCAACACAACCAGACACAACAACAGCAGTCACACATGTGCTCTATGTACCTGCAACACAACCAGACACACAACAGCAGTCACACATGTGCTCTATGTACCTGCAACACAATCAGACACACAACAGCAGTCACACATGTGTCTGTGAGTTAGAGATAGAGCCAAACGAGCAGAGTTTGTGGCAGTAAAGTGTGGATTTAAAGAAAAACTAAGAATTTAAGAAGAAAAAGGATCCCCTGTCAGGTTCTCTGTCAGGTTCTCTGTCAGGTTCTCTGTCAGGTTCTCTGTCAGGTTCTCTGTCAGGTTCTCTGTCAGGTTCTCTGTCAGGTTCTCTGTCAGGTTCTCTGTCAGGTTCTCTGTCAGGTTCTCTGTCAGGTTCTCTGTCAGGTTCTCAGTCAGCTGAGGTCGAGCTGTTTTAGTTTACATTGAGTTCTATGGGGAACAATTCCGGGTAGCCCTCGTAAATTTAGTCTTGTTTAGTCTGCAGTACCGCGAGAATCCCCCGAGCACATGGGTCCTTCAGCTCCAAGCTAGTAATACCATATCCAGATATTATAATAGATCCATGATACAGATAGACAATGCTAACCCACTAGGGAAGTGCTCATGGACAAAGTTTTGCTCCAACTCACTCTTACATATACATGTACCTTTTGTGTGAGGGTGCGATTCCCGGAGGACATCGCTTCATAGAGAACATGTAGACGGCAGCTTCAGCCGTGGAGAAGAGACGACAGAAGCAGAGGAAGGAGCAGACCGCCACCGCAGACGCCGCCCGGCCGTCCTGAACACAGAAGGTCAAATATGAGGAGAATAATATAATAAATAAAAGTTTTTTGTATTAGTAGAGAACCTTCTAAGAGGCCTCACTTCACTGGCTCTCTAGGGATAAAAAAAAGATCTGAATCTTAAAATCAACAGTCTTGGTGACCCCGCTCCCATGTGCCTCTGGTCTGTGAAATTACTTATTACTTACTTAGAAAAGAGAAAAAAGGTTGTTTTTTTTCCACAGAGGGAGAAGAAGAAACCACAAAGAGAGAGCAACCAGGTAGGGAGCAGAGAGAGACCAAAGAGGGACCAGAGAGAGAAACCAGAGGGATCAGAGCGAGAGACCAGAGAGGGACCAGAGAGAGAAACCAGAGAGGGAAACCAGAGGGATCAGAGAGAGAGAGAGACCAGAGGGAGAGAAACCAGAGAAAAAGACCAAAGAGAGAGACCAGAGGGAGAGAAACCAGAGAAAAAGACCAAAGAGAGAGACCAGAGGGAGAGAAACCAGAGAAAAAGACCAAAGAGAGAGACGGCACTGTGGCTGAGTGGATAGCACTCTCGCCTCTCAGCAAGAAGGTCCTGGGTTCGAATCCCGGTCGGACCAGGGCCTTTCTGAGTGGAGTTTGCATGTTCTCCCCGTGTGTGCGTAGGTTTCCTCCGGGTACTCCGGTTTCCCCTACCACTAAAAATATGTACAATAGGTCTGGCATGCGCCTCCTGTTCGGCGACCCCGCTCCCATCTCTGTGTGGAGTGAGAGACAAGTGCCCAAAATTAACAATTGTAAACCGCTTTGTGACTCTGGTCTGTGAAAGGCGGTATATAAATAAAGCTTACTTACTTACTTACTTAGACAAGAGATGGACCAGAGAGAGACCAGAGAGAGACCAGAGAGAGACCAGAGAGAGACCAGAGAGAGACCAGAGAGAGACCAGAGAGAGACCAGAGAGAGACAAGAGAGGGACATTTTTATCCCTCACTGAACAGACCCTGACCCAGACACTGACCAGACAGTGGACGATACAGATGTTCCTTTGGTCCTGCTTCAGCCACAGGTGCATGTTTTTACACACGCTGAACAGACTGCGCAGGTTCGGAGCTCGTCGCAGCTGCCAGTTACATTCAGAGACCTGCGGAAAACACACACATAAAAAAAACTATATCTGAGAAATACAACAACAGACTTTAAAGCAGCTCTGTTTGTTACAAGTCTCTTCATTGCCTTGTTCCAAAGTACATCTGTCACATATGTCACTAAACATATGAACCAACTGGGACTATGAAGAGCACAGGGACTGGCCTCCTGCTGGTCTCAGAGTCAGGATTTTACATGAGGATGCAGATTTACGCAGCTAAAATCTGAAAGTCTTCCTGATAATGTGAGACAGGCCTCTCCTCTAACAATGTTCACATCTGTTTTGCTGCAACAACTGGAGGACTGTATCATCACTCTTGTCAATACACTGTGATTATTTATGATTTCAACGCCTTGTTTCTAACTTGTTTTGTTAAGCACTTTGAGTTTCCTTGTGTATGGACTGTTTTTTACAAATAAACTTGGACTAGGACTGCGGCTGGCTTTACCCGGTTGTGGAAGCGCGAGGGCCTGTAGGAGCGCTTGGAGAGGTTGTAGACGGCGTAGTGACCGGCGTGTCGAGAGTCCAGGAACAAACGCACGTCTTCTATGTTGTTCTTTATGGCTGACTCCACTCCCTCAGCCGGGTACGACATCACTACAAAACACACACACACACACACACAAACAAACAGTAAAATAACAGAAAAAGTTGCCAGGGGGGTGTGTTTATGTCTGTGTAAAGAACCTATTGTCCTGAACCATGAATGTATTGTATCTGTAATTTGTAATTTGTCTGGTCTCTCTCTGGGGTCTATTAAAGATACCAGCAAAGAGGAAGCCCAGAGAGAGAGACCAGAGAGAGAGAGAGACCAGAGAGAGAGACCGGAGAGAGAGAGAGACCAGAGAGAGACCGGAGAGAGACCATAAGGAGACCACGGAGAGAGAGAGACCAGAGAGAGAGACCACAGGAATACCAAGAGAGCGACAGGAGAGGAAGATCAGAGGCCCACAGAGAGACCAGAGAGAGAGCGACCAGAGAGAGAGCGACCAGAGAGAGAGCGACCAGAGAGAGACCAGAGAGAGACCAGAGAGAGAGACCAGAGAGAGAGACCAGAGAGAGACCAGAGAGGGACAAGAGATGGACCAGACAGATACCAGAGAGAGACCCGAGAGAGAGACCCGAGAGAGACCTGAGAGAGACCTGAGAGAGACCAGAGAGAGACCCGAGAGAGACTTGAGAGAGACCTGAGAGACACCAGAGAGAGACCAGAGAGAGACCTTAGAGAGACCAGAGAGAGACCAGAGACTACTTGAGAGATGTTGCACACAGAGATGGAGCAAAGCATTGTAAAAACCACTGATTTGCTGAAACTAATGCACAGGTATATTAATGGAAATAATCATACGCTTTAATGCTTATTCTCCACATTTATTTGCAGAGTGGGAGGTGTTTGTTCACAGACTCGGATTCTACTCATTTAGATAAAAACTAGATCACATTTAAGGTTATGTATGAAAAAAAAATAGACCAAAAGAATCTTAAAGTCCCACCTGCTATTCTGGAGGTAATGTACGAAATATCCAAGTCTCCTTTGGCGTAGCTGCAAGTGAAAAACAGGAAAATGTAAAAAAAATCAGTCATCAAAACTAGAGAAACATAGAAAGTTGATTGTTATGAGTGGGTTCGATTCAGTTTCTACGCAGAATAAAGAGAATATTCTAAAAAGCCACAAAACAAAACAAAAAACACAGCAAGGATTAATGACAAAGATGGAGCCGGAGACAACAGGACAGAAGCGAGATGTAATTAGGTTTCATGTGGATGATCGTTAGCGCTGAAGCTACGTCATTAGTGTTGGACTCACTGACCACTCACTCGTCCACACAGCGCTGAAAATTAGTGAGTTCATTTTGGATCCTAGATATGATCCAGGTAATTATATGGATAAAGATAAAGAATGAGAGTCAAGACGAACAAAATATTGGCCCCTACTGGAGGGATTGGGGAGTTACATAATGACTTGAGAAGGAGACCAGGGTGAAAGTGAGAAAGACTTGAGACAAGAGAGAGAGAAAGACTAGTCTCTCTCACTCTGGTCTCTCTCGACCAGAGTGAGAGAGATCAGAAAGAGTGAGAGACAGAGACCAGCGAGAGAGAGAGACCAGAGAGAGAGAGAGACCAGAGAGAGACAGAGACCAGAGAGAGAGAGAGACCAGAGAGAGAGAGAGACCAGAGAGAGAGACAGAGACCAGAGAGAGAGACAGAGACCAGAGAGAGAGACAGAGACCAGAAAGGGGCATAGACAAGCGAGACACAGAGACTTGGAGTGAGAGACCAGAAAGAGAGCAGAGAGAGAGATGGAAAGAGAGACAGAAACCAGAGAGGGGCATAGACAAGCGAGACACAGAGACTTGGAGTGAGAGACAGAGAAAGAGAGCAGAGATAGAGAGTAGAGAAAATGACAGAGAGAGAGCCAGAGACCAGAGAGGGACAGAGAGAGAGAGACAGAGACAAAAAGACCAGAGAGAGAGAGACCAGAGTGAGAGACAGAGACCGGAGAGAGACAGAGACCAGAGAGAGACAGAGACCAGAGTGAGAGAGACCAGAGTGAGAGAGACCAGAGTGAGAGACAGAGACCGGAGAGAGAGAGAGACCAGAGACTTAGAGTGAGAGACCAGAAAGAGAGAGCAGAGAGAGAGATGGAAAGAGAGACAGAAACCAGAGAGACACAGAGAACAGAGACAGAGAAAGAGAGCAGAGATAGAGAGTAGAGAGAATGACAGAGAGAGAGACAGAGACCAGAGAGGGACAGAGAGAGAGAGAGAGAGAGAGACAAAAAGACCAGAGAGAGAGAGACCAGAGTGAGAGAGATCAGAAAGAGTGAGAGACAGAGACCAGAGAGAGACAGAGACCAGAGAGAGACAGAGACCAGAGTGAGAGAGACCAGAGTGAGAGAGACCAGAGTGAGAGAGAGAGATAGAGAGAGACCAGAGACTTGGAGTGAGAGACCAGAAAGAGAGAGCAGAGAGAGATGGAAAGAGAGACAGAAACCAGAGAGACACAGAGAACAGAGACAGAGAAAGAGAGCAGAGATAGAGAGTAGAGAGAATGACAGAGAGAGAGCCAGAGACCAGAGAGGGACTGAGAGAGAGAGAGACAGAGACAAAAAGACCAGAGAGAGAGAGACCAGAGTGAGAGAGATCAGAAAGAGTGAGAGACAGAGACCGGAGAGAGACAGAGACCGGAGAGAGACAGAGACCGGAGAGAGACAGAGACCAGAGTGAGAGAGACCAGAGTGAGAGACAGAGACTGGAGAGAGAGAGAGAGACCAGAGACTTAGAGTGAGAGACCAGAAAGAGAGAGCAGAGAGATGGAAAGAGAGACAGAAACCAGAGAGACACAGAGAACAGAGACAGAGAAAGAGCAGAGATAGAGAGTAGAGAGAATGACAGAGAGAGAGCCAGAGACCAGAGAGGGACAGAGAGAGAGAGAGAGAGACAGAGACAAAAAGACCAGAGAGAGAGATCAAAGACCGAGAGAGAGACCAGAGAGCAAACACTGGCATCTAGTGGTGAAATTGGGATATTACGTTATTAAGCTTTATCATAAATATCCAACATTGCACAGGCTAATACTGCTACACACAACAAAACATATCACGATTTACTTCACGGTTTGTGAGAGCGGAGTTGGACCATACTGTAGGCCGAAGATTCTGAGTGGACGGACTGAGAGATAGCTAGAGCCAATTTCCTTGTTTCCTTGTTCTGCTTTGTGCCAAAACAGCAGACGTGTTGCTAAGGTGGTTACTAAGGCCAGGTAGAGCTTGATCAATCCTTATCTGTGACATAAACGGCTACTGAGCTAGAAGAATCTGAAGCTAAGAGTACAATGAAAAGAAAGGGAATCATCTGGAGAACGACAGTAAGCTATAGCATGTCAATAACAGTTCTTTCGATTCTCTCTTTTAACGCGTTTCAATTCCTTCAAGGTGTATAGGAGGATTTTCTACTTGTGGATCATCAAGACTATTGGTCCTCCCAATTGTCAATCATTCTGGTGACACGTGCTCGTCAAATAAGACCAAGAAAGTTTTATTCAAAAAGTGGAGAGGGCGGTTCTTTCCCGACATTTGGGAAAAATCCTCCAATATACCTTTAAGTATCTTTACCACGGCTCAGATATAAAAAATACGGCTTTACCATGTTTAATTATGTACCTTGAAAATAGTTCCAACAGTTGCTAACTTTAAGTCTTTGTAACGTACATGTTTGCGGTTTTATTTTACTGTGTTTAGACAGACGCTTGTGCTAAAAGTTCCTAATATTAGCACGGATGGAGCTAAACAATCGGATGGTGTTAAAAACGTGGTTAAAAAGTTCACACTGGACGATTTTGCGTGAGGTCTCTCCGACACACAACAGTCACCACATGCTTCATTCAGACTGCTTTCCGATGAGTGGATTTACAAGAGCCGAAAAAGGCAGAGAAAAACATAACTAGCACACACTCAGGGGCCTGTATTTACCTTGGGCTGCAGACACAAAGTGGGCCATGAGGGATTTGGACAGAGAATAGAAAGAAAATAAACAAAATGGGAACAAACAATGGGATAATTCAAAATGAGAAAATCAAATGTGATAATTGGGGTGATGGTCGGACAGAGGGAGGGCTCAGGGCGTGGCTGAATAGTGCGGTAGAAGATGGTTTGGTTACCTGGCAACGGACTGGATCACTTTGGAAGACGTGTCCTTGATGTTGGTGAGAAAGCGCTCGGTCCCTCCCCTCAGGATATCCATCAGACCGCTCCCAGCCGGGTCCGGGTCGAACACGCCTGACGAGGGGAAAAAAATCTGTTCAGTATCGCGATATTTTGCACGTGGAGTTAAATCGATACAGTAGAAAAGTATCGCAATATTTCATTCAATAACTCTATGATGTCTGCTTGTTGTGACTCTATAAATGTAATTTCTGTAACAATGTACAGACCATAATACGTAGCATTTTCTTCCGTTTTTGTAATGTCTTGAATTGCAATCGCAGAATTTAATCACAAAACTTGCTGAATCACAATAATATTGAATTGTGGCCCAAATATCCCAGCACTATCGAATTTTCACATTTCTACCACTTCATAGCCCTAGGAGCCTCCAGCCTTTTTCCATCCGAGAGCTGCTTGTATACAACAGAAGAGGCAGAGAGCTAGCATTCACAATACAAATCTATGTATTGTCTAAAACAGATGTATAAAAAAAATACCATAATACTGTATAACCCTTTATTATATGACTTTGGCCCGTACGCGCGCTCTGATTGGTTAATTTGCGGTCTGATATTTTCCCATCTCGGACCGTTACCATGACAATTGGTCCGAACAACGCTTATCACATTTGATATCTTTCCACGGACCGTTACCATGACAATCGGTCCACAGCCCGTAATCACACAAAACCAAGTCTGATATTTCTCTGTACAGACCTCGCCCTCGGTTAATAAGCCGTTAATATTTTTACTTATAATCGATGTGTGATGACTCAAAGGGAATCATTCAAGATCATTTGTTAAATTCTATATCCTTTGGGGAGCTACCTGAAAGGGGCTGCTGAGCCACAGGTTGGAGACCCCTAATCTAAGGTGTATCTAAATGTCACTGCAGACCTGTGCGTTTCAACTCACTGGCATTTTGCATTAGCGATAGAGAGTTCATTGATCCCTGTAGGAGACATAGATAAGAAACATTTTGCCTAATTCCACAGTGTTTTGACTTGAACTTTGAACTCCCATGATCCTTTGGAAAGAGGCAGAGATCAAACATTGTGCCTCCTGAAGTAAAAGGTGAACAGATGGTGAAGGAGAACCACAATCCTCTCAATACAGAGACCTTTTCTCACACCCAACGCTGTCCACGAGGATCACGCACACAACTAAAACCAAATGGTACCTAAAGATTCATACAGCTAAAAATCTAGAACCGTCTTCCTGAGAATGTGAGACAGGCTTCTTCTCCGACAATGTTCAAATCCAGGTTAAAACTGTTCTGTTTAGCTGCAAAAACGGAGGGATTGAATCTTCACTAGTTTTTAAGGCACTTTGAGTTTTCCTGTGTATGAACTGTGTTATACAAATGAACTTGCCTTGCGTGTATAAAAGTAAGGAGTGAAAGTAAAAGTTATCATAAAGAAAATGGTGAAGTGCAAACACTAAAGCCTAGCGTACATCGACAGAGAAACTGGGGACAACTAGTTGCAAGGCGGCTTTTGGCAACTGAGAGGAGATGATGGAGATGATCAGTTGAAATCGGTTGATGTGAGCGCTCTTACAACTGGAGATAAACAGTCGGTCTCCAGTTTCAGTCAGTTGCCCGTGTTCTACTTTTCGGCAACTAGTTGTCCTCAGTTTCGGAGATATGACCCGATGTGCGCGCTCCATGCGCCGCTCCGACAACATGTGTGTATTGCGTGTAGTGCGCGCCCGCAACAGTTTATGTCAGAAAACACACTGTAGTTGACGGACAGTTGCTGTCGATGTACGCGCTGTTATTCCTGAGACTGGTCTGATACTGGAGCTGCCCGTTTTCGTCAGATTGTCCATGTGTGCGGGGCAGCAACTCATATGCGACGGATATAATCAGTTGCCAGTCCGATGTACGCTAGGCTTAAGAGAAAAAACCTGTCGCTCTGCTCCTCTCCTTCGCTCTGCTCCTCTCCTTCGCTCCTTCGCTCTGCTCCTCTCCTTCGCTCCTTCGCTCTGCTCCTCTCCTTCGCTCCTTCGCTCTGCTCCTTCGCTCTGCTCCTTCGCTCTGCTCCTTCGCTCTGCTCCTTCGCTCTGCTCCTTCGCTCTGCTCCTTCGCTCTGCTCCTTCGCTCTGCTCCTTCGCTCTGCTCCTTGGCTCTGCTCCTTCGCTCTGCTCCTTGGCTCTGCTCCTTCGCTCTGCTCCTTCGCTCTGCTCCTTGGCTCTGCTCCTTCGCTCTGCTCCTTCGCTCTGCTCCTTCGCTCTGCTCCTTCGCTCTGCTCCTTCGCTCTGCTCCTTGGCTCTGCTCCTTCGCTCTGCTCCTTGGCTCTGCTCCTTCGCTCTGCTCCTTGGCTCTGCTCCTTCGCTCTGCTCCTTCGCTCTGCTCCTTCGCTCTGCTCCTTCGCTCTGCTCCTTCGCTCTGCTCCTTCGCTCTGCTCTCCTTTGCTCTTGCTCTCCTTTGCTCTTGCTCTCCTTTGCTCTCCTTCGCTCTCCCTCTCTCCCCGGTCTCTCCGGTCTCCCCTCTCTCCGGTCTCCCCTCTCTCCGGTCTCCCCTCTCTCCGGTCTCCCCTCTCTCCCCGGTCTCCCCTCTCTCCCCGGTCTCCCCCCGGTCTCCCCCCGGTCTCTCCCCGGTCTCCCCCCGGTCTCCCCCCGGTCTCTCCCCGGTCTTTCCGGTCTCCCCGGTCTCCCCGGTCTCCCCTCTCTCCCGGTCTCCCTCTGTCTCCCTCTCGGCTCTCCCCTCTCTCCGATCTCACTCTCTCCCGCTCTCTCTCTGCTCTAACCTCTGCAGTCCACAAAAACCACTAAAGTTTTCTTCTGACTTTAAGTAAAAGGTAACCAACATGTTATACTCACATTTATCTAATGTTGTATAGTTTTTGGAGTAAACACACACAGGGCATGAGGCCACAAGAAGAAAAAACAAGATATAACAAGACTCCACTGCATTAGAATCACAAATAAAACCTCAGGACCACCTCCCTGTACCTGCCCTCTGTACCTGTGCTGTTGTGTGCGTCGTGTACCTGTGCTGTTGTGTGCGTCGTGTACCTGTGCTGTTGTGTGCGTCGTGTACCTGCGTTGTTGTGTGCGTTGTGGATCAGTGCCGGTGGCTGAGCTCCATTGTTCCCGAATCCCCCGTTTTGCTCCAGCAGCTGCAGACATTCATAGCCGTCATACACCGGGCGCCAACAGTAATACGTGCTCAACATTCTGGATAATCAGTTAGAAATCTTCAGGAAGAAATGATCGATTAAAGCGTGAAATGAGAAAACAGGGAAAAATCCAAGTGGAACAACATGAAATCCATTGAATACTAGGCAGGTGTAGCTTTAGCTTTACATGCAGTTTGTGTATTGTCTGAGAGAGTTGTGTTGTTCCGTCTCTATCTCTGCTCAATCTGCTGCTCCATATGTCTGTGCAGAGAAGAGGAGGAGGAGGAGGAAGTGGCAGGAAGTAATCTCCTTAGGCCCAGGAGGGAAACTGCTTAACCCTAATCAGCCTGAATGACCACATTAACCATTACACATTACACTCAAGCCCATGGTATAAACACTAGTAGTTGATGTCACGCTACTTATGGCAGTCACTTTGTGCCAGACCCTAATGCTGCATGTACAGATGTTTACATACAATTATATAGTATTGCATTAGAATATACAGGATTTTATACTTGCTTCTATATTATGCTAACGCTAGAGATATGCTACTTTCTTTGTAAAGATAAAGGTAGAGATTTTATTGTATTTTATTACAGTTATTGTTTATTTATCTTCTGCTCTGTAACTGCTGATGCAACACTGACATGGATGGAGCCAAGACAATACTTCAGGTTGAGTTTTACACCAGGAAACATGTTGTGGTTAAAATTATCGAGTATTTAGAATATATTTAGTATCTTTAAAAGAGATGCAGGCAGCTGGACCTCGAGGCCCGGGAGTCATAGAGACTGCTTTGTGTGGTTCGAATCAGCAATGCACAAACACACACACATACATACATGGACACACACACATACATGGACACACACACATACTTCGGCTCAAAGACTTCAAAGAAATAGATTAAAATAAACATTGAGATTATGATTTCAATGTTGATATAAAAATAACGTGCAAATGGAGAATGTATGGGCTAGAGTAGACTAAGGTAGGGTAGAGTAGGGAAGGGTAGGGTAAAGTAGGGTAAGGGAGAGGGTAGAGTAGTGGAGAGGAGAAGGTAGAGTAAGGTACTGTAGGGCTGGGTGGGGTAGGGTAAAGTAGGGTAAGGGAGAGGGTAGAGTAGCGGCGAGAAGAAGGTAGACTAAGGTACTGTAGGGTGGGGTAGAGTAGAGGGCAGAGAAGAGTAGAGTAGAGTAGAGTAGGGCTGGTGGGAACAGGGCTAAGTAGGCCGACCTCTGTGATGGGAGACTTGGGGTTGACGTTGCGAGCAGCAGCGATTTCCTGAAGCTGATTCACCAACTCTGTGATGGACAGACGCTCCTCTGGATTCACCTTCAGCATCGAGCCTGAGCACAACAAAGACAACGTTACTGTTTATTTAACTATAACGCTTTATTCATGGGTTATGTGTTTTGTTTTTGCCCATAATCCATAAATACTTGTCTGAGAGGGGATGGAACCCTGACCCATACAAGCGCCTCCACCCCCTTCTTAAACCATGTGCCTGTTGTTTTATTATGTTATATGTACAGAGCTTGAAATTAACTATGCATCCATCCATTTACTTCTGCTTTATCCGTTGCCGGGAAGCAGTCTGACCAGAGACACCCAGACTCATCTGGGGGAATCCTGAGGCGTTCCCAGGTCGAGACATATGGACATAGTCCCTCCGGCATGTCCTGGGTCTTTCCCTGGTCTCCTCCCAGACAGATGCACCTCTCGATGTGGAGATGCAGCGGCTCTCCTCCGAGCTCCTCACCCCATCTCTAGACAGTTACCATACTTTCAGCTCCCCTCCACCACATTATGAAACTAGAGGTTTTTTAGAATGCTGGGATGTCATATATACATTTTTTCTTTTTATGCTAAAGCTAGTGTGCATTTAATTAGAGTAAAAGACGTTCTTTGATTTATCTTATTTTGTACACTTTTATCTTTGCTTTCTGAACATTAGCTCAGTATTAGATTAAGTTATAAGAACGATATTATTTTATGCAGATTCATATTTTAATTATTGATTAACGACGTACGTATGAGCTCGTGGTAAACTGTGTACTTGACGTCGTTCTGGGGGATGCTGTATTTGCCGTTGACGATCTGTAGTTTGGCTCCGTCTTCAAACGGGTGCTGCTTAAAACACAACAGGTACAGGATGCATCCCAGAGCCTGGAACAGAACAAAAACAGTTCATATTCTCATGTGGGAAAGGCAACGATGACATGAGACTGCTTCAAATGACGGAAATACATGTGCAGTGAACCCTGGCGGGGGTGATGTGTTCTCAAATTAACACGCCACAAGGTAAATCCTCTGCAGCTGTATGTTGAAACCCCGAACATACACTTTATATACTTTTCTAACCACCTGAACTCACGACTGCTGAAGTGAGAGAGACCAGAGAGAGGGAGAGCAACCTGAGAGAGGAAGAAAGACCAGAGATGAGATAGAAAGGCCAGAGAGAGAGACCAGAGAGAGAGAAAGAGCAGAGACAGAGACGAGATAGAGGCCAGAGAGAAGAGAGAGAGAGAGACCAGAGAGAAACCAGAGAGAGAGACCAGAGAGAGAGACCAGAGAGAGAGACCAGAGCGAGACCAGAGCGAGACCAGAGCGAGACCAGAGCGAGACCAGAGCGAGACCAGAGCGAGACCAGAGCGAGACCAGAGCGAGACCAGAGCGAGACCAGAGCGAGACCAGAGAGAGACCAGAGAGAGACCAGAGAGAGACCAGAGAGAGACCAGAGAGAGACCAGAGAGAGAGAAAGAGCAGAGACAGAGGCGAGATAGAGAGGCCAGAGAGAAGAGAGAGAGAGAGACCAGAGAGAGAGGAGAGAAAGACCAGAGAGAGAAAGACCAGAGAGAGAAAGACCAGAGAGAGGGAGAGAGAGAGAGAGACCAAAAAGAAGAGAGAGACAAGAGAAAGAGGCCAGAGAGAGATAAAGAGACCAGCGAGAGAGAGAGAGAGAGCGATAAAGAGACCAGCAAGAGAGAGAGAGTGAGAGTGAGGCCAGATCTGCAGCAGAGGGAAATACCCAGATGTCTTGCTTCTCGTTGATGGGGAAGTTGGAGTAGAGGTCGATCATCTCTGGCGTTCGATAAGCCGGAGTCGTGTTCCTGGTGATCTGGGAACAAACGAAACAACATTTAACTCCGAGGTCACACTGGATCAGAAATGGAATAATTTCCTGAGCTCGTTGTTTGTCGTTAGAATCACTGGGGTGCGTATGTGTGCATGTAGGAAGCATGTGTCATCAGCGCAATGGAGCAGAGAGCTTTCATTACATTAGAGGCGTCTGGTTCGAGGTGACGTCTGCTCCGGATCAAACGCTTCAGACTTCAGTACGTCACTGTGTTTTCAACTGTTGGATTCATAAGGACTTAAAGGTGCAGTTAGCGATGTTGTTAGCTTAGCCGTAGCACCAACTGGAAACCACTCCTCCCCTCCCCTCGCCTCTCCACCAAACCAAACATCCAGCATTTTCTTTTCTTTGGCACAACAGGGAGAGTGGGCGGCAATTCCTGTTCAGCCATTTAATGTTTTCGAAAATAATCCCATAACTCCGGTGCACTCGCGAGAAACAGGAAGAGGGTGAAGGGGGTAAACGAAGGGGGCTGGGGGATAAAACGATAACGATATATATTGCGATAGACACGTGTTCGATATCAATAGAAAACGGGGTCGATAGAACTTTCGATAGTTTCACTTCAGTCCGTTCGAAAAAACAGGAACGAAACACAGGAAGTGAAGCCGAGTCAGAAGCGCGTGGCATTCTGGGGGATGTAGGCAGAGACTTCTCGAACTATCACAGCCGACTACAAACCGCAAAACTTTCTGGGAAAAGCAAAAAAAACAACCGCACCGTGCTCCATGGATCGTGGATCTATGATAATAGCCATGGATCTAAAGATTGTGTTTCAGTGTCAATGGTTAACTCATTGAATGCCAGCCTATTTCAGAACAGGTACTCCCACAGTGCCAGCCATTTCTGATGATTTTTACTGATTTTTCAAGACCCACAGAATATTGTGTACTATGACTATCTGAAATCCGACACCAGATTCTAAAAGAATGGACTGTCTACTTTCCTCAGCAAAAAGAATTTTGTTTATAGCTTTTTTCGTTCCCCTGTAATCCTCCGTCGAGTAGAGGGAAGTTTTACTGAAATCACCAGAAATCACCAGAAAGTTGAGAAAAAAGAGGCACAACATGTGCACCTACATGTTTTCAAACCATTCAGAGAGAAATGCTGCCACCTGCTGGCTCGATAAAATATGGTCTCAAGTCATCCCCATACATATTAGATACAATAGACATCTGGGAACGTGAAAATAGCGAAAAAGGCAATTGACGGATTAATCCGTCAATGGCCGTTACTATTTGCTTTGACGTATTTGTGCGTCAATGGGACACAATGAGTTAAACACGTCCGTGCGAGGAACAGCATGTGCGGCGCGGGAGAGGCAGAGACTCGATGCATTCGGCAAAAACAAGAGATTAATTTCCGGAGCCGCCACGGGGACACAGGACACTCGAAGGACACAGCTAAACCAGGACTAAACCAGGATTAAACCAGGACTAACTATGGGGGAGACTGCTTGTGAACATTTGGCTCCAGCCTCATTCCCCGTGACTGTAAACAAGGCTGCTAACATGTGTTAGTCGACACGACAAATATATTTATTTACGTTTTAAAAAATAAGTCATTCATATCGGTCGATAATGATATATATTGATTGCTTTTTATTTATATTGTGATATAGTTTTCAGCCACATCACCCAGCCCTAGTAAACGAATCCCATTGGTTTGTTTTTATCGGTCCGCTCCAAAATATTTTTTGAGACTATAGACATCTGGTCAATTCCAATACTATTTGAAAACACATGATAACTTGATACTTTTAGGGTTAAGGGACGTTTTCCCACAGTATTTAAAAATAGGCATCTGGAAAAAAAAAAATCACTGATTGCATCTTTAACATTTGACTAAAAAGTAATTAAAGAAACCAGGGCTGGGGACGGATATTGGAAATTAGCCTTGGCTATAAATGTTATTGTGTTTTTGTACACTTGTCCCCATCACATAAACAATAAATAAGTATATATAGTGTATCTAAGGCTGTACAACCCTCACAAATCACTTTACACAATAATCTACTTAACACTCGGACTGACAGCATTCTGAAACCTCCAAGAGCCATTATTTTGACTGCTCCCGGTGACGAAAGTGGGGTTTAGTGTCTTGCCCAAGGACACAACGACAGCAGACATCGCTGGGAGTCAGTGGAGAAGGTCTCATGGGGAGATCGAACCCATACCCTTCAGGCTCAGGCAGCAATGAGCCACTACCAACTGAGCCACTGCTACCATTCAAACCAATCAAATACTGATTTTTATAAAGTCATTCATAAGGTTACTTCCTGTACTAACTTTTAGAGCTAAAACTGGTGAATATAAATATAAATAGAGCAATAGCAGTTTGACGAAAGGCTAAATGCTAGAGACTGATGATAACTGCTGACAGTAAACAGTATGTTGCTATGGTAACTGGCACTGGCTCTTCTCTGTTGGAAGATCAAGCTGAACCAGTCCAGGTAGAGTCCAGATTTCATAATAAAATCACGACACATTAATAAACTACCCATAGAAACATAAAAAGACAAAGTTTTGAAGAACACAAAGATACATAATCCAAGTAATTACACCTCCAAAACTAAAAGCAGTCAAATTGTTCAAGGTTTGATTTAGCTGGTTTAGGTCTAGAGCAGTGTCTCCCAAAGTGGGGTCCGCGGCCCCCTGGTGGGCCGCGAGGGTACTGCAGGGGGGCCGCGGGAGGTCATAAAAAAAATAAAAAATAAATATAATTATTTAATATTAAATTTATAATGTTTTGTTTGTAATATTAAAATATTTGTGTTCATTATTTGACTTGAATAATCCACTGTAATCATTTTTGTATTACAATGTTTGTAGCAGAGGCTATTTCCCCAAAATAAAATAACCAGAAGAGCCTATTCTTAAAGGCGCTATACCCGTTTCTGCAATGTTTGAATGTTTAGCACCGCCCCCCAACTCGCTCAATGGCTTCTTATTTCCCCTACGCTCTCATAACACAGAGCCACCTAGTTTTATTTGCGATCTGATGCATATGCTAACATTAGCATTAGCGCAACTTCTTGTAAGCTGTGCAACAATCACCGATGAAATGGCACTAAAGCAACGCACTGCTAACACAATATATAAGTAAAAGAATACCGCTAGTTTTGCGTCCGAATGTATTAATTTAAAACCTTAGAATATATTCTAATATTGAATTATAATTTGTTATAGAGCTCCTCAAAGCAGCAGCAGCAATTCTTCCGATAATTTTTTCTTGATAACAGAACTCCCAAACCAATAATGACCGAAGCCCCAATGCAACCTCTGTTTGTAATTCAGGTGTGTAAAATACTGCCATTACTCTGCAAGTACAACAAGCTATCAGCACCTGTCACTACACACTTGTCTGTGTAGAGAAGCTAGCGGAGCTAGCGGAGCTAGCCACGCTCAATAAACAACTACATATCTATCAATCAACACCATTAAACGTCAATCGGACAATACAGTACACATATACATCCTTAACACACATGCACGGATGATTTCAGAATTTGCTGTTAACGTTTTCATAACAAAAATACTGTTTCAAAGTGACAAAAAGCGATTGCGAAAAACCCGGAAGTTACCACGAAACAGCTAGCTAGCTTAGCTGTTACCTGCCTAGCACGTCCCGGTGAAACCTTTGGGAGCTAACTATTTTATTTGCAGTCATTAAATACATTTCGAATTACAAGGGTTGTCTAATATTTGTTCACATTTTTTTATTCAATTATTTTGTTCATCATTTTTTATTTTAGAATTTATATTCGAATTTTGAAGTCGAAGTCCTGGTGTTAAGCAGCGCTGTAGAGGCTAGAGGACGCAGGCTGCTCGCTGCTCGTTCTGTGAGCGGAGGAGAAAGAGCGGCCCGCTCAGACTCTACTCAGCACTTTTCACTGCTTGTAATTCTTACACAGCTGAATCAATTACCTCAAGTTTTCAATTAAATGATGTATTATGATACAACTTGTATGTAGTAAAAAGCATTTTTATGAACTACTTAGAAAAAAAATCGGGTATAGCTTCTTTAATGTTGTCTTCTTGGTTATTATTTTGGGGGGCCACGCAGACCCGTCAGATTTTTAAGGGGGCCTCGGTGTTACTGAGTTTGGGAATGGCTGGTCTAGAGGAACAAATATAGGACTGGATCTTTCAGAGTCTGACAAAACGCAATTGAGATAAAGGGAAAATCACTTTTGACCCTGTGGACCAACAAAAAACCATCTAAGACCAAAATGACTTTTCATATTAATATTTCGCTCAATTTTAACATAGAACATTAGAACATAGAACACATTTATTTTACTAACTAAAAATGCAATCAATATTTAAAAATTGCACACCCCTAGACACGTGGATGATAAATGCAGCTATGAGCCCAAACAACCGACCAATCAGACGCCTTCTTTCGTAGGGGGAAAAACCAGCTTCCCTTAGCAACCGTCTAAGCAACCGATCTGCCTCAGTCACGGCAAAAAGCTAACGCCGTTAGAAACAGATGGCCATATAAGGAAATGGGCTCCAGCTAGCTTATGCCGGTCCCTCTTCCGCATTAAAGACCTTATGCTGGGTTTTAAAAAAAAAACTGTGGATATCAAAATTGCATGACAATGTCAATCTGAAAGAGATTCCGGCAAAAAAAATCCTATATTTTATAAAAAGAACGTGTTTTTCATGAATTTAAGCTGTCTATGCTCTAACCTGTGTGTGACGTCACAGCGGGTTACGCCCATGCATTGAAAACCATGGATCTATGCCACAGGACTGCCTTTTCTCTCTTCTCTCCACTGATGCCCAACACAATACTGCCCTCTACAGGTGACAATTGCTCACTACACATAAATTGCCGTTTGAGAGTGAAAATGTGTCTGAGGTGGGATTTGAACCACAGTATCTGGATTGGCAGTCCATCGACACAACCACTGGACTATCTCAGTGCCAACGAAGAGTTACAATCTAGTAATTATCTCAGACTCGCTGTACACGGCCTTGTCATCTTGAATATCCGCGAAAAAAGAACGAATACCAAATTGTAAACAACTTACAGCGTTGAAACGTACCCGTTCTGACGTCACCAAGGGCTGTGAAGTTTTTTCGTCTCTAAGGGCGTTGCTATGGGGTTATTTCGATTTGGGGGGATCAGACAAAAAAAACAACAACTGATTTTGAAACCTTTAGTAGTTCTCTTCTAATATAAAATGGTATTAAAACTGTATTTCTAAATAAATCAAACCCGTCATAAGGTCTTTAAGGCTAACTCTGTAGGTGATGTCACACTCGGACAGTCCCTGGTGGTCTGTGTTCTGGTACCTCGTCCTCCACCATGGACCTCTTCTGAGCCGACCAGCTGTAGTCGGGGTAGTGGGACACGGTGGTGGAGCTGCCGAAGTCGCAGAGTTTGATGGTGCCCTGGTTACTGATCAACAGGTTCTCGATCTGCAACAGAGCAGCACAGATCATCCGAGAGCGGAGCGAGAGGAGAACACAGACGGAGGAACAGTTAGTGATGGAGGAAATAGATTCTGTTCAGTATCGGTATATTATGTGCTTCGATACAGTAGAGCAAAGTGTGGAGATATTTAATTAAATAATGATCTATTTCATGTTTTCTCCGAGTTTACTCTGGTCATTCACATTTGCGTATTACATCCACAAGATGGCGCTTGTTGCCGTTCATTCAAGAGGAAGTGTATTTTAAATGACATCTGTTTGTTTTAGTCAAGATTATCCTAAAATATACTTCCCTCAACTACATTTAAGTTCCCAAAGAAGAATCTACAAATATATAAAGAATTATAGATTTGTTTTCTTTTTCTAAATTGAACATTTAGAAAAACATTTAGAAAATTTTCAGTTATTTCCCATAAAATTCTGTTAAATTCCCTTACAATGCCAGTAATTCTCATGGGAAGTTTTGAAACCCTAATCACAGTATGTTAGGGTTAGTCCCCAGCCCTGACAAACCACATGTGACAGACCTTCAGGTCTCGGTGGATGATCGGAGGCTTCTGTTTGTGCATGTGCTGCACGGCGCGGCACGACTGGTAGAAGGTTTTCAGAACCGTGTCACAGGACAGCGGCGCTCGCTGCTCCACACGCTTTATGAAGTCCACCAGCTGACCTGAGGACACACACAACACAACACACTGTTAGACACACCAGCTGACCTGAGGAGACACACAACAGTCTGTTAGACACACAACACTAAGACACCATCATAATCCATCAGTAGTTCGCACAGGCCTTTTGACCGGTTGCTTCTGTTGCTAAATAGTGAGCTGTGTGTAGTTGGAAAGTTACAACATGAACCTGTGCTTTATTAATTTCAATATATTTGTTTAATGATATATTTGTGAATCTATGCTCTGTGTGTTTGTGTTGGATCCGCTTGATTTTCTAATCTGTCGTTGCTGATGTTTCGGCTGCACACACATACATTGAACTGAATTGAGGTTAAAGTGAAATCCAAAGGAAAGACTTTTGTCACATTTACAAACAGAAGGAAGGAAGTGGTGCAGGAAACGGGGGCAGATGACGGGAGTCTGTCTTCCACAGGAGTAAAAAGAAGCTGACGACTCGCATTTCTAGAGTTCTGTGTAAAAAGTGACTAAATATTGACGGGAAAGAAACAGGAAGGAAGTGAGAGAAGAAGAGAGAAAGAGAGGAGAGACCAGAGAGAGAGAGAGAGAGGAGTGAGTAAGTGTGAGTGAGAGAGACCAGAGAGAGACCAGAGAGAGAGAGAGAGAGAGAGAGAGAGAGAGAGGGGACAGGAAACCAGAGAGAGTAAGTGTGAGTGAGAGAGAGACCAGAGAAAGATGAGAGAGAGACCAGAGAGAGAGAGAGGCCAGAGAGAGACCAGAGAGAGACCAGACAGAGACCAGAGAGAGAGAGAGATCAGACAGAGACCAGAGAGAGACAGAGACCAGAGAGAGAGAGAGACGGGAGAGAGACCAGAGAGAGAGAAGGAGTGAGTAAGTGTGAGTGAGAGAGAGACCAGAGAATGATGAGAGAGAGACCAGAGAGAGAGAAGGAGTGAGTAAGTGTGAGTGAGAGAGAGACCAGAGAATGATGAGAGAGAGACCAGAGAGAGACCAGAGAGAGAGAGAGAGATCAGACAGAGACCAGAGAGAGAGAGAGACGGGAGAGAGACAAGAGAGAGAGAGAGGCCAGAGAGAGACCAGAGAGAGAGAGGGGACAGGAGACCAGAGAGAGAGAGAAGGAGTGAGTAAGTGTGAGTGAGAGAGAGACCAGAGAAAGACGAGAGAGAGACCAGAGAGAGAGAGGCCAGAGAGAGACCAGAGAGAGAGAAGGAGTGAGTGGGTGTGAGTGAGAGAGAGACCAGAGAGAGAAAGAGGCCAGAGAGAGAAACCAGAGAGAGGGAGGAGTGAGTGAGTGAGTGAGTGAGAGAAACCAGAGAGAGAGACCAGAGAGAGAGACCAGAAAGAGAGACCAGAGAGAAGAGGAAATGAGAGTTTACCTTTACAGAGCTCGGTGAGGATCAGGAACTCGGCCTGACCCGTGTCCGACTCCTCTTTACTGATGGACGCAGCCGAGCAGAACTGCACCATGTTGGGATGACCCGACAGCTTTTTCTACAACAACAAACAGAGAAACCCACAGATTAAAGCTGGGGGACCTAACTTTCAAACCGTAAAAGCTAGAACTATGTCAATCTATCAAACTTGCTCACAAAACAGTTGGATCGGATTTGTGAATGGGTTATGAATGTACTTCTTTTTGGTAAATTGTTTGGTTAATGACAGATATTATTATTCACTGACTGTATTAGCTACTTAGACACAACTATGTAGAAAATAAAACACATGTTACAGACTGATATTTTAAAATACATATTTGCTAGAACACAATATTTTTGGGAATGCCTCAGGGGTGGGGGAGTGGGGGGTAAAGGAAGAGAGAGACCAGAGACCGAGAGAGAGACCAGAGAGAGAGAGACCAGCGAGAGATAGACCAGAGACCAGAGAGAGAGAGACCAGAGAGAGAGAACAGAGAGAGAGAGAGACCAGAGAGAGAGACCAGAGAGAGAGAGAGAGACCAGAGAGACACCAGAGAGAGACCAAAGAGAGAGACCAGAGAGAGAGAGAACAGAGGGAGAGAGAACAGAGAGAGAGACCAGAGACCAGAGAGACCAGAGAGAGAGACCAAAGAGACCAGAGAGAGACCAGAGAGACCAGAGAGAGAGAGACCAAAGAGACCAGAGAGAGACCAGAGAGACCAGAGAGAGGGAGAAAATACATATTTGCATATTTTTGGGAACCCGAGTAGAGACCAGAGACCGAGAGAGAGAGACCAGAGAGAGACCAGAGACCAGAGAGAGAGAGAGACCAGAGAGACCAGAGAGAGAGAACAGAGAGAGAGAGAGACCAGAGAGAGAGAGACCAGAGACCAGAGAGAGAGACCAGAGAGAGAGAGAACAGAGAGAGAGAGACCAGAGAGAGAGACCAGAGAGACCAGAGAGAGAGACCAGAGAGACCAGAGAGAGAGACCAGAGAGACCAGAGAGAGAGACCAAAGAGACCAGAGAAAGAGACCAAAGAGACCAGAGAGAGACCAAAGAGACCAGAGAGAGACCAGAGAGACCGGAGAGAGAGACCAAAGAGACCAGAGAGAGACCAAAGAGACCAGAGAGAGACCAGAGAGACCGGAGAGAGAGACCAGAGAGACCGGAGAGAGAGACCAGAGAGACCAGAGAGAGAGACCAAAGAGACCAGAGAGAGGGAGAAAATACATATTTGCATATTTTTGGGAACCCGAGTAGTACACAGAGTAGAGTAGGGCTGGTGGAAACAGGGCTACATGCACATACCATGAAGCAGACTTCTTGAATGATTTCTTTGCTCTTCTCCTCTTCGTGAGACAACAGCCGCTGAAACAGAAAACCAATATTGGAGCAAAAGGTCGATTTCACACAATCTGAATCTTCTCCTGGTTTTACCTTTAAGGCGTAGTCTTTTCCACTGCTCATGTCTTGGGCCTCGTACACAAAGGCGAATCCCCCTGGAACACACAAACAATGGTTACACACTGCAGAACCAGGACGAGGCAAGTTTATTTGTACAGCACTAATTATACACAAGGCAAAACAAGATAGAATCCCACAAGGCTTAAAATCATAAATAATCACAGTGCTTTACAAAGAAGAGATAAAATCCTTCAGTTGTTGCAGCGAAACTGAACTGTTTTTAACCTGGATTGGAACATTGTCAGAGAAGAAGCCCGTCTCACATTTTCAATAAAACTTCTGGATTTTAGCTGCATAAATCTGAAACGCTGCCTCCTCATGTTTAGTCCTGACTCTGGGGACCAGCAGGAGAGAAGTCCCTGTGCTCCTCAGAATCCCAGCTTTGAGGCCAGTCCCTGTGCTCCTCAGAATCCCCGCTTTGAGGCCAGTCCCTGTGCTCCTTAGAATCCCTGCTTTGAGGCCAGTCCCTGTGCTCCTCAGAGTCCCAGCAAGAGGCCAGTCCCTGTGCTCCTCAGAGTCCCAGCAGGCCAGTCCCTGTGCTCTTCAGAGTTGGTTCATATGGCGCTAACATGTCACAGATGTATTTTGGTGCAAGACCTTGGAGCAACTTTTACACAATCATTCACCATTCTGTAACCCAGCTCCCGTCTCTCTGAGGAGTGAGAGACAAATTCCCACAAACAACAATTGTACGTCGTTGTGTGTTTATATAAATAAAGATGACTTGAATGCGACAGAGGAATCACACACAGTATATTTTGGCCTCTCTCTGTTTACAGGGAATGTGAGCGAACTCTAACCCACAGGAGAAACCTGAGCTTCGGGCGTCTTGCTCAAACGTCCCACAACAAAAGAAGGAACAGTCTGAACAATAGTTTTTCCATCGCACAGAATCCAGCCGACGGTGAAGCCCGAAGGAACGCAACAACTTTACATTTACCACCGCTGGATCAGAGAGAGGCTGTAAAACGGTCTTAAAACAAAGCCCAAGCGACACTGTAAAGTTGGCGTTGCTATAGTGATGAGGAAATCGCCAACTCGCCCGGTTAAGACTTTACATTAGCCCGCCATAATAACAGCTAATTTAAGTTAATAAGTGCTAAATAGTGTACCCAAACCCTAACCCTAGCCTTGGGCGGCACGGTGGCTGAGTGGATAGCACTCTTGCCTCTCAGCAAGAAGGTCCTGGGTTCGAATCCCGGTTGGACCAGGGCCTTTCTGAGTGGAGTTTGCATGTTCTCCCCGTGTCTGCGTAGGTTTCCTCCGGGTACTCCGGTTTCCCCTACCACTAAAAATATGTACAATAGTTCTGGCATGTGCCTCCTGTACTGGCCCCTCCCATCTCTGTGTGGAGTGAGAGACAAATGCCCTAAAAAAAATAACAATTGTAAACCGCTTTGAGACTCCGATGTGCAGTGAAAAGGAGGTATATAAATAAAGATTACTTACTTACTTAACACCGGTGGGAAAGTGTCAGTTTGTAGTTAGTTAGATGTAGACTAAGGTCATGTAGAATAAGGACTTATAAATACCACTTAACTCTTTCAGTGCCAGCCGTTTTGCTGATTTTCACCGACTTTTAAAGACCCATAGAATATGTTCTGCTATGACTAGCTTAAATCTGAATCATTTGAGCATATTCTGAAAGATTGGACGCTCTAGTTTACTCAGAAAAAATAAGTGTGTTTCTATCGGCTTTAGTTCTTCTGTAATCACCATTGGAGTAAGGTAAACTTTTCACAGAAATCATCAGTTTCCGACATAAAGCTGAGAAAATGAGGTGTTTGTGAAAATAAGCAAACAATGCAGAAAAGTGACTTTGAAAAGTTTTTTTTTACTTTAGTCATTTCTCACACAACAGAACATTCTTCCCATATATAAAATAAGGGAAATGACTCAAAATAAAGTGCTTTTGATAGCAAAATAATACTCAGAACACAGCATAAGAAATGTACAAACATAAATTACAAACAAATAACTATATACATAAAGTGCTGATTGGCTGAGAGTGTGCGTGCGTGTGCGTGTCTCTGTCTACATAGTGTAATCTTGTTGTGTGTTCCTTTTATGACTGATCGAAGAGCTAAAGGACGCTACTGACATCTGCTGGCCGAATAAAATACTGTCAAACAGTCCCGATCAGAGATATATGATAGAATGGATGCGTCTGGATCTGAATACACCAAAACACGTCAATTGCATAAAATGCGTCAATGGCACACAACCACAGATCTTGAATTGACGTAATATGCGTCATTGGCACTGAAAGAGTTAATAGCTAATAAACCATATGTAATACATTCATTAGTACTTAATTAGCTGTTAATTAGTGAGGGCTAAACTAAAGTGAGACCAGCACTGCTTTTCCAAATGCCAATACTGCGGTTAATTTAAAGCTGGGGCCCGTAACTTTCAAGAAAATAAATTTTGTTTTTAATATTTAAGCCAAATCCATGTCACTAGTTCCTCAGTCTCAAAACTGTTTCTGTGGCTAGTTTTCACATGCATTTGTTTCTGGCCTCTGTGACGGCTTTAAATCGGCTTTTTCAGACAGAAGAGTGAACAGCCAATCAGCTCTCATCCCCAATACTACACTAATGTAATGTACAGCGGGCCATTTAAAGCTGGGGCACGCAACTTTCAACAACAACGACAAAAATAAATTGAATATTTAAGCAAAATCCAAACAATTTGCTTCTGTCACTAGTTTTCACATGTACCTTTGGCCTCTGTCACATCTTTGAATCTGCTTTTTCAGACAAAAAAAAACAAACAGAGGACCACCCTCACTCAGCCAATCAGCTCTCAGCCCCAAAAGCGTCAAATAGTGAAGTATACCAAATTTAACTTAATTTGTCTGATTTGTTCACAACATTTTACTTTTACAAGACACTTTCTGTTGGGAGACAAACATGTGTTATTTATGTCACAGATAAAGCATCAAATTCAGTGTTAATTACTGTATTAGTAATACAGTAATTAGCTCTTAATTTATATTTATTTAGCACCTCTTAGTCCTTATTCTTCATGGTTTTATTCAACATCTATTCCAACCACTTACTGACACTTTCCCATGTGGGTTAAGGTTATGCTACACTAATTAGCACTTAATTAGCTGTTAATTAGTTAGGGTTTCCCAAGTTAGGCACCCTAAACTTAATGCAGTCTTTGCTCTAAAATTGCGATTACAATGTGATTATTATTGCAGCCCCGAAACTGACTTTGGAAAGCGCTGGCATCAGATTAATATCAGATTTTTTCTACCAACAAAAACTGTTATAGTTTTATCCTGGGCCTGGATCAATACATACGCTTCTATCATCCATTCACAACCAGTGTGCAGAAATCTGAACTGGGAGTCTGCAGAATGTGTACGTAAACAGAAAGTCACTTATTACTGTGAATAAAAGAAGAGACAGAGCTGTATGTGAGTCATATCTGTCCTCTGCAGATCACCACAACTGTCACTGCTTCAGAACAAACCCTTTTACCGATTTCTAAACAAGATATTTCAGCTGATCTTGCTTTATCTTTCTGTGCCGTTTGAGACTTGACATCTCACATGTCAGGATCTGTACGTGAAGCAATAAACTAAAGTGATCAAAGAATAAAACTATTGAGAATAAGAAGGCGGGTTTAAGTAAAATACAAATCAGATCTGCCATTATAGACATGTATGGACCATGGACTGTATATAGATGCTAACAATGCTAACCGGCTAGCTCAATAAAGCCCGATAGGTAAGTATTCATGGACAAAGTTCCATGAGCACGTACCCATTTGGCTCCAACTTTCTCAGGCTCCTATTGACTCACAATTCAATCAATTCTTGTATAGCCCTAAATCACAGAAGTAGATATCTTGGAGGACTTTAAAAAAAAAAAAATGTTGAATTTGCTAACACAGAGCAGAGAATCAAACGGAAGAAATCCATCCATGCATCCGTCTTCTTCCCCTTAATCCATTTCTAGGTCGACGGCATGGCAGTCAGAACCCCTAACACAGTGATTCCCAAACTTTTTCTGCTGGACCCCCTTTTGGTACATACGATTTTTTTGCGGCTAGCCAGGAAGTCACTCAAGCTCGCCAAAACAAAACTATTTGCATACAATAAATATAAAAACTTTCCAATGGCTCATAAGAAGTCCATTGCAGTTTTTTTTCACACATTGTAATTAATATAAACCTCAGCCCTAACTGCAGATTGTAATGTGCGGCACAGTGGCTGAGTGGATAGCACTCTCGCCTCTCAGCAAGAAGGTCCTGGGTTCGAATCCCGGTTGGACCAGGGCCTTTCTGAGTGGAGTTTGCATGTTCTCCCCGTGTCTGCGTAGGTTTCCTCCGGGTACTCCGGTTTCCCCTACCACAAAAAATATGTACAATAGGTCTGGCATGTGCCTTCTGTACTGGCGACCCCACTCCCCAAAAAATTACAATTGGAAACCGCTTTGAGACTCTGATATGCAGTGAAAAGGCGGTATATAAATAAATAAAGAGAGAGAGATAATGTGTCAAAACTGTGTCCATCTTATGCTAGCAGTGTCATCTACGCTACTGTATTTTTTTGTTAATTAATTGGTCCCGCTCCCCTCCAGCAATTGCTCTGCCCGCCACTGTCTTTAGACCCTCCTGCATCAGCAAAGAACAACCCAAATAAGAGTAAGTACCCGTGATACCAACGGCTAAAGCTACACAGACCAGTTTCAACAGGGGACCAGGGGTTGGCGAAGAGTCTACGCAATTTCCTGCTGTCTGCAATTCAGAACGCAACTCATATTTTAGAGTTATGACTTCAGTAAGACTTTGAGCAACATCCTCTTGACGTGGAGAAGCAACAGCTCTACTCCAAGCTCCATCTCTAAGGGATTATTACAATTAAATTAATGTTTTTTAAAAGGTAGACTGTGTTGTTTTTACTCCCGTCTAGCGTTGAGATCATATATTGTAATTTGCAGTACTACGGTGGCTTCACAGGACAATATGTGGTCTTTGACAGTGGTCCCCAACTCCGGCCCACACTGCTTTTTGTCCCTTATCAGCCACTGTATTTCAAGATGGCGCATTGACACAGAGTCCTCCAGCTCTCATGCACTTTTATAAGGCCATTTCTAAGCCTGTGACAAAAAAATCAAAAACATGGTGGAGGTAGATTTTCTCAAAAAGGTCACATTTGTTTATTGGTTAACATGTTTTTTTCATTTGGAGCAAGTGTGAAAATGACACAGAGTACCTTTAAGTTACAAGGATTTATTTGGAAAAAACGGCAAAAAAGGAAAAAGCGCGGAGAAAGTTTTATTCCCGTTTACATTCCCGTTTGTCAGATGTAATCGATAGCAAACGTTTTGGGATTTACTGACAAAACTTTTTGGTCAGATACATAATAGATTTGAGAACTCTTTCAGCGCTCCTGTTTTGGGCGTGGAATAGACGATCTATTAGACATGATTATGGCCCTATTTTTAATTATAGACTATTATCACATTATTATTATATTATTATTATCAAACCACACTGTCCGACGACCTCACCTTTTACAGGGAGTAACGTCTACTCTAGGCCATAAAAATACAGAGAGTAGGATACTTTTGATACAGCAAATGTCCAAACGGCTTCACTTCAGGCCTACGTCTCTTCTCCAGGAGTGTCAAACCTTTTTCAATCTGACAGCTTCTTTCACAAAACAGGAAAAGGAAAAGCAAAGAGCTGCTCCTTTTATGTTCATAATAAGTAAGTAATCTATCTTCACAGACCAAGGTCACAGGTTGCAATACTTTTCCATTCTCTCCACACACGGTGATGACAGAAGCAAGACTCACTCATTACATTCACACCTAACGGTAGGGGAAGCCGGAGCACCTGGAGAAAACCTACACAGACACGGGGAGAACATGCAAACTCGTCACCGAAAAATCTGGAGGGGGAATCGAACCCAGGGCTCTCTTGCTGTGAAGCTCAAGCGCTCCAACTTGTGTAGCTGGTTACCCCCTAGCTTCCAAATGTTCAAATATTCACATAAATATTGAAAATGTTACGTCTCCCATGCAAACTACTATTGTAAATATTTGAACTTTGTACACTAAGAGATGAATAATAGATTCAATCAATCATTCATTAATTTTCTACCCGTTCACAGTTAATAACCTATTTGGAATGCCTTGAATGATTTTCAATTTCCTGTCTTGTTTTGTTCTGCCTTGCGTGAGTCTGTTATATGTAAAAATAAAATATGTATTGTGTAGGATCAAAATAAATAAATATATAAATCAAATATTAGTACATACGTGGGATCGGGGGTATCAAACCTGTCCTGTGTGTGTTTAATGTGTAGATGTTTCTATTGTATTATATGTGTTGGGGACTGGTGCCATGAGCATTGTGTGGCAGCTCTCATTGCCACCCCCCTGACCCAGAAATGGACTAATAAAGGGGTAGAAAATGAATGAAATGAATGAATGCGTTAAATTCCAGGATCTTTTGAAGAGTTCCGAGCTACAGGTTGGACACCGCAGCTGTAGCCTGATACTAAGCCACATAGTTCACGATAATGCCGTAAAATCATGTTTCAAGGTGAAAGAAGCGACTGTCACTTGTCACAAACTAAACCAAGAAATGTATTAGATTAGATAAAATAGCAGGACATTTTAGCTATTCGGCTAAAGCTAAAATGGAATCCTTTTGACTAAGAAATATCATGTCTGAGACTAAACATAGATATATCAACAGGCTAGCCTTATACAAGTATAGTACAACTTCTAGGTCTAGAATTTTACTTTCGTTCCAGGATTGTGGGAAATACTTTATGTTAATGCTAAATAGTTACAGTTAGCCGAGAAAAAGTTCCACAAACAGAATCCCTGTCGATAATGAGAAAAATGTTGTCAAAGTTGTGGTTTTGATCAAAAATTGGACATTTTAGCCTGATGTACCATGTTTGGAGGTTTCTCATTGCAGAACTGCCTATTTCATCAAAACCAAAATGACTTGGACAAAGAGATCACACCAAAAATGATGTATTCCTGCAATATCACTATTATTGAAGAAATATTTCAATACCAAAAATTATTATGAAAAACTATCACATTCAAATTTGGGCACTAAACTGGAACAACTACCATGAACTGACTTTGTGTCTATTTTATTTTTTACTTTCCTTCAAATACTTCAAAGATAATATCACAAATAAATACTATGAATCAAAATGAATAATAATACTGAAAAAAATGTATGCATTTCCAGATTTAGCTAGCCTGTTAGCCACATTAGCATCCACATTAGCATTCCACAACAGTAGCGTCTACAGGCGACCTCACCTTCTGCTATCACCCGCTTTATCCTCAGCTTCATGTCCCCGAGCTCCACGATCTGCCCCACGAAGTCATTCTGGTCCCTGCTGGCGGCTCCGGAGGCACCGGGCCCGGCGAGGAAGTCCAAAGCGGACTGGAACAGGGACATGTTGTGGTCTCGTCCTGCAGCCCGCGGTCAGGGCGACTAGACTCGGCTCCTGCAATCACCGACACACGCTGAGAGGCAGAGGCCGGGTGGACAGGGGAGGTGAGCGGGGGGCTACAGGCGGCTGGGGTGGAGGATCGTCCCGCAGAGAGGCGTCATGTTCCCGCAGTGACAGAGTCGAGAGGCCGCTGCTTCTGCCACCATCACAGAGAGAAGCACTTCCGCAAAGGCACGAGCCGTGACGAGACGGCCACGTGACCTGCATGCGCAACACGATAATAAAAAATAAATAAATGGAAATGTTGAGACAGTGTTGAAAAATAGAGTACAGATAGAGTACATAACTGCTATTTTAGTCTGTCCCAATAGTAAGAGTTTTTAGTAACTTTTGTGAACAAATCAGACCCCAATGATTTACTTTCTAAAAGCTTTGTTTCCACCAGCTCTACATGACCGCACTCTACCCTTCTGTACTCGGTTCTACTCTACTCTGCTCTTTAGTGTCTGGTGTTGTATCCTACCAACCAGCCCACAACAAACCAGTATTCGGGGAATTTCCTTGGTAACCATGGCTTTCCAGCAGCACTCTGGTCAATCACTGTCAGTTAGAACACTTTAGTACCAGCTTGGCCTGGATAGAACCAGGACCAGGAGGAACTATAGTGAAGGACTTATACTGGAAGAGTAAAGTAGAGCAGAGTAGAGTACGACCAACTAGGGCTGGTGGAAATAGGGCCTATGACCACAACATGAGGCCTTCATGTTATAGTGAGAGATTGGTTTAGTGAGGGACTGTTTTTGTCACTGAAAAAGGCTGAAATAAAATTGTGACAGAAGCCAAAGATACTGGAGTAATATTACAATAACTCTGAAATAACAACACACCTGTTTGAAAAGAGATATAAGGGAACTAGAATTGATATTCACTGTACAAACTGTTCACACGTTTGTTTTGAATGTGGCGAATGAAGGAAGTTGATATTTGTTTTGTGATGACGGAGTCGTAGAAGCGGGTGGGGTTCTGTTGGTGCAACGGCAAAACTGTTATACACTGTTTTATTCTCTCATTGTTCAATCTTTAAAGCAGCTCTGTTTGTTACACGTCTCTCCATGGCCTCACACCAAAGTACATCTGAGGAGCACAGGGACTGGCCTCCTGCTGGGACTCTGAGGAGCACAGGGACTGGTCTCCTGCTGGGACTCTGAGGAGCACAGGGACTGGCCTCCTGCTGGGACTCTGAGGAGCACAGGGACTGGCCTCCTGCTGGGACTCTGAGGAGCACGGGGACTGGCCTCCTGCTGGGACTCTGAGGAGCACAGGGACTGGCCTCCTGCTGGGACTCTGAGGAGCACAGGGACTGGTCTCCTGCTGGGACTCTGAGGAGCACAGGGACTGGCCTCCTGCTGGGACTCTGAGGAGCACAGGGACTGGCCTCCTGCTGGGACTCTGAGGAGCACAGGGACTGGCTTCCTGCTGGGACTCTGAGGAGCACAGGGACTGGTCTCCTGCTGGGACTCTAGAACAGAATAAATATTTAGAGTTACTGAAATAGGTAACAATTCTCTGTGTGTTCACTAAATGCCCCTTACTCTCAGACACTTTCTACATTTTTGATATTGTTTTGAAACTTTTGATCAACAATCTATCTATTGCTCCCTGTTGTAATGTGTGTATTAGTACAGTATATTTAACAAAATACATACTGGCTCCAAAATAATATATCCTTGTTAAAGTACTGTATATATATGTTTATAATAATAATAAAAATCCATTGGTTTCATACAGCGGTTTGTTGAACACGCAAAGACGTTGTTCTTCATTCACTCCATACACGGTGGTGACAAACTACCGTAGCCACAGCTGCCCTGGCGCCCTCTAGTGGACAGCTGAGACCTTGCCATAGTAACACTTACAATGGTCTTGATAAAATGAATGAATAACTGAAATGTATCACCAGCTCTGATAGTGTTGTGTTGGTGTTTGAGCTCATGCAGGACACACATTTTAGTTTATATCCAAGCACCGAACCCTGGGGGGCCGAGCTTTCGCCATCTCTGCTCTCTCTGGAACTCTCTCCCCCCTCACCTCAGAAACTCGGACTCACTGAACTCAGTTAGTTTTGTGTGTCTGTCTAAATGTGTGTGTGTGTGTGTCCTGAATTGTTAAGCGTCTTTTTGAAAAGCGCTTTATAAAACTGATGTATTATTATCATTACCATTTGAATTACAAATGACCTAGTTGTTTTCAATAGTTTATTTATGTGGTATGTATTTAGTTGTCACACTAAAACACAACATTGGAATCCAGGTCATATCGGTCTCCAGCAGCCAATAGAAGACTTTGCTTCAAACCCGGAAGTGTGAAATGTGGACGGTAAAGTCCTAATGAACCTGAACATCTGAAGACTGACAAAAGCCTGTGTTTGTCCCTCAGTAAATGACATGATGCCTGAATGTTGACGTTAAAATCAAATGAATCTGAAATAGCCTCTGTCCTCGTTCTACAGCCTGAGTCTCGGGTCTACAGCCTGTTTCTCTGTGGGAGCAGAGTGTAGGCCTTCCAGAGGTTTCTCACATTGTCCATTGTTTTAGTGGTTTTCAAACGGTTACTGAGCTTTTACTGAGCTAGAGGAGTTTACTTATACGTGTAAGTCAACAGGACGAGTTGGAGTAAAACTTTGTCCCTGAGCACTTCTCCATTGGGCATCTTTGAACCAGCGGGTCAGGGCTGTCAATCTACATACAGTCTATGTTTAGAGTAACATAAATGATGTGGTTGTAAAAATAGACCGAAACTCGAACTGGTTGTAAAGAGGAGATACATTTCCAAAAAGTTTTAAAAGTTAAGGTGAAACTTGGAAATAATGTTTTAGGGGAATTCACTGTGAATTGATTGTAATGAAATTGTATCATATGTAAGCATAAAGTCAAACAGAAGTCATAAGGAAACATGCAAAACGTTTTCAACAGATTTATTTATAAGTAAGCTTTCCATAATATCTTCAAAGCTTACTTAATTTTGTTTCGTAGACACTCTAGTTCTTTGGTGCAGTCTTCTAGAACGCAGCTGAACATGCAATGGAGGCGCAGGGCCAGTAGGGGGCGTAGTATGTACATGTGACTGAGGAACGACATGAATGTGCAAGTGCTTTGAATGTTTTAGTCATGATTATGTAAAAATATACTTTCCTTATGAAGAGCCAAAACCGTCATTTTCGTTCGATCTCTGTTTATTCTCATTTAGATTCTCGTTAATTCCCTTAAAGTTTCCATATTTGAGAATTCCCGGAATTTTGAAACCATAGTTGCCACTGTACCAACCTAAATTGAAACCACAGCCATAGTTGTTTAATGAGTGAGCGGCTGAAGTGAAATACGTTTTCAATGTCGGCAGAATATGGTGGAGTGAGTAAGAAGAGCCAAGTAGGAACATTCTCAGTTTATTCTTTTTTATTCCCATAAACGTCTGCTAATTCCCCTAAACTCCCATTAATACCCATAGTTTCCGTCTTTGATAATTCCCGGAATGGTGCCAACCCTGACTCAAGTTGATGGTAAAAGATAGAGCAGGTCTCTAAGGTCCAAATTATTTTCAAAATGTGATTGTGTTTGAAGAGTTTCCAGGATGTGTGTAACGTTAGCCCATGGATCTATGATAATAACTGGATAGGGTATTACTAGTTTGGAGCTGAAGAACCATGTGCTCGGGGATTCTCGTGGTACTGCAGTCTAAACCAGACTAAACCAGATTAAAGCAGACTAAATTCACGTGGACTACCCAGAAATGTTCCCCATAGAACTCAATGTAAACTAAAACAGCTTGACCTCAACTGACAGAGAACCTGACAGAGAACCTGACAGAGAACCTGACAGAGAACCTGACAGAGAACCTGACAGAGAACCTGACAGAGAACCTGACAGAGAACCTGACAGAGGACCTGACAGAGAACCTGACAGACCAGATTTTGTGGGGATTGTCCCTTTTCATCCTGAACTTTTTTTCTTCTTTAAATCCACACTTTAGTGACACAAACTCTGTGACATAAAAGAGACAACTCAAAATTGTTCACCTTACTCAGAGTTGTTGCTTTCACTGACAGTAAAATTGCCAGTTGGAACTTGAACTGTCTGTTGTGAGCCACTTGAACTCACTTTCAGAAGTTTCTGATGAGAAGTTCATCTTATTTTATGAATGAAGTTGATTTTACTTTGAAGTTGTATTTGACACCAGTCAGAGAGAGGTCAACTTATCTGCTCTCTTTTCAAATTTGTCATGGCAACCGCCTGCTACGGGGTTTCCAAGGATTTTCCCAGGAATTCCCGTCGAAAGTTTGACAGTTTGCATCCGCCATCTTGTCACTTTGCTTGCGGTAACTTTTGTTTGTATCTGTCATAACTGTCAAGAGACTTGGGTGTTGATTGTTCAGTAGAAGCTTCACCATTACTGTTGAAGCATGTTTGCATTTTTGGCTCAGGTTCAGATAATATGCCATTTTCAGCTGTGGATTTACACACTTGTGAATACTTAGGCCCTTTACTGTTTACCTGTCATCTTTGGCTATATTGCAATATCTGTAAGGTCTCAACAAGAGTCGGAAAGTTAAAAAAAAACTGCACATACTGAATCCTGATTTGCTTTGGGCATAAGATTACTTTACATTGTGGAATTGTAAAACTGTTTCTGCCAAAGTGGTTCAAATAAACATGCGACAGTGGCTCAGTCGGTAGAGCATTGGTCTTAGAGCCTGAAGGTCGTGGGTTCGAGCCCACCTCAAGACCTACTTCACGACTCCCACTGTGTCCTTGGGCAAGACACTTAACCTCACTTTGCCTGAAGCCCCCACTGAAAGATCTCAGCACCTGCAGGAGGATCAGTGAGGGGCCAGTGCTCTGTGGACTGGGTGCAGCTCTGACTGCCACCCCCCTGACCCAGAAATGGATAAAGGGGAAGAAAATGAATGGATGGATGGAAATGAACTGGTTTACTGTCAGTGGAGGATTTAATGTGGGGGTAATTTAAACTCAAAATAGTAAATTATTACAGGGGTTGGTAATCTGAATTTAAATTAGTAAGTTTTTTAATTCAGATTAAGTTCCAGTAACTTGAATTTAAAAAATGTAGTTGGCAGAACTTGAAAAAATTAGCTGACACAACATAATAATTGTAGTTCTTCAAAACGTAAAAGATTAAGTTGATGCCTTCAACTCAATAACTCTGTGCAGTCAAATTTTGAGTTGACCTAACTTTTTCTTTTTTACTGTAGT